CAAGCCTCAGGCAGCTTTCCTTCTGGAAGTCTCCCTTCGAGGGGAGAAAGCTTGGGAGGTGCACGAGGCTTTCTGCACCCTGGCGGGCCATGCGGCTTGGCAGCTCATCGGGATCTCCCTCAAGAGGGAGACCTTGCATATATCGGAATCTCCTAGAGGTGTCAGTTTGACGGCTGATAACCGACACCATCCGTGCACAGTCGGAGCGGCTAGCACTCCGAAGGCTCCCTCCGACTTCCAAGGGCCCGACGGCTCACAGCATGGGGACTCTTTGGCTCCGGTATATGCAGCTGCACGGCGAGGAATGGATTGCAAGCCAACTGTATCTGCAGGAAGTGTTGACAGAGAAGCTGTGCCAGGATATGCACATTCTGCAGCAGCGCCACGAAAAGCTGCAACTCCAGCTGAGCTACGTCTTGGAAAACCAGAGAAGCATGCACTACGCGGAGAAGCGCAGACTGAATCCGAACAAGTGCCCACAGCAGGCACGGTCAGTGGACTTGCATGCGATGGATTAGCGATGAATCGAGCACGCTTGGTTAAACCAAAGGCCCTCGACATCACTGCTTTCTTTCGCAAAAAAGAGTAGCTCTTCTGGCAACTTTTAATTACGCTTTTGTACATGCGAGTACGCTGGTTCGACATAGTTGTCGTTTTGAGCCTTTCCATAGGGCATACGTGCCATGCCGTGAATATCGGCCGGTGTTGAGTACACTGACGGCGCACGCTAGACAAGGACTCCTTGCTGCGGTGGAAGAAGACCAGTTGAATAAAACTGGCAGCTATCTTTGCTGGTTCTTGCAGCCCAGTCAAGCCTCAAACCCTGGCTGTGGGTGTACTGCGGCATGGCGCAATAACGGGGCTGAGACCGGTAAACCTGCAGAATGACTGCATGTCCTTTATGGGTCTTCCGATGTCTTCAGTTTCCCGAGTCTGTTACATCAACACTTTCGCGGAATATTGCATTCCACTCGCGGATCCATTCCGAATCATTCGCGACACATTGCTTTATGCCTGAAAAAAGTTTCGTGCATACACTCGATGACGCCAACGGTCGGAACTGTGGCTTGGCCCCGTCAGTTGAGTTTCAACTCTCCCAACACAGATAATGAGCTTCCCCACAGCTTTTTTGGGGTAGCTGCAAAGCTCAAAGTAGTAGGCCGGCAGCAAGATTGACAAATCTCAGTTGCAGATAGAACCCTTCGATATGTTCCGCTTCCAAGGGCTGCGGAACTGCAAACCAAAGGCTTCGCTCCCACAGCACGGGACAGTTGTTGCATGTTCAGGTCTGCTGAAGAGCACTCTGATTTGCGCCTCGAGGACAGGTCTGCAGTGGACTTGCTCGACTCCTCGCTCATTGATAGCATTACCATGTTGCGCATGCTGCAAACATCTGCAAACTTTCGAACCAGTTTTGCTGACACGCTTGTCATGGTCACAGTGCTGCATGCAACCATACTTATAATTACTTATATGAGGCAAGCAGCAGAGTAGCCCCGGGCACGATCGCCTGACCGAGTATACAGAAGAGCTCCTTCTTCACTTGTCAGTGCGGTCGCGTGCAAGTCTTTGCCAGCAGAAATCTGGCCTGGCAGTGGCTCTTCCGTGGCTTCGAGAAAGTCCCAGAGGTTGCCATCCTTGGAAGTGCCAACGATCATGTGAAAGCAGGTCTCTCATCACGACTTTTTCAGCCGACGAGGTGCTGCAGTATCTGCTGCAAAGTCATCGACTGTCGGTAGGTTGTGCACCTGCAAAGCGGTTATGCCCTGTATGATGCTGCCTTGCTAAAGGCGTGTTCTGACCAGGTATCGTGCCCATAGATTCTTCTCGGGTGGTTTTGCACCGATCGCCAACAAGTGCGCATCAATGGCCTGGTGATGACCGACATGCAAAAAAGCTGCTGCAGGGTCTGTCACGCACACTCTGCGAAGCGAGCCACCTCCAGCAGTGGCTCAGCTTGGTGTTCCAGCTGCTTCTTGTTGATCGTCCTTCTGTATTCCTGGGATTGCCGTGGTGAGTGGGAACACGCGCCCAAGCACTGCACATCTCTGATCGTCTCTAAAAAGCTAGCTGAAACCAAGTGTCCGGTCCCGGTCCCAGCAATATGGCAGCTTTTGGAATCGAACGCAGGCGGGTCTCGGCTGCCAGCCTGCACTGCGACAGGCTGGACGCAAGCTAACCGTGACCAGCCTGGCGAGACCCCTGAGGGTCAGGCTGTGAATAGTATCTGCACATCTTACCTTAATTGTGTTGCGCAGGCATGTGCTCCGTTGCAAGCGGCTGGGTTCTGCTGCTGTTAATCATATTGACCATCACTAACATGATCGTCGCACCCTTCCCGGATGATTCTCTGATTCTCATGCTTTAGCGACTTCAGCGAGTTTGGATGCTCAAGTTCCTGCATTTGCGGTTCTGACAGGACTCGGGCACAGATTGAACATCAAAAATCCCGCACGGAAGCCCGACATCAAACACACCAGGTTGCACGGGCTGCCCTTCTCCTGGTAAAAGATCAGCCAGCTGCCTGGCAAACCCAAGCCCAGACGTGGCAAACATTTGCGAGCATCAAGGCAGCAAATTCGAGCCAAGGGGCCCAGCGGCTGAAACTTATCTGGATCGCCCTGTCGCAATGCTGCGTCCAGCAGGCGACCCCAATCTGTACTCCAGAAAACCTCGCCTGCAGACGTTCATTCAACGGCAGGCTGCAGCATCGGAACGATGCATGTTGCATGCTGCATGGAGTTGTAAGATCGCGACCGCTGTGACCACTAATGCTGACCCTTTGTCTCTCGAGGAAGTCGATTCCAAACTCTGCATGCGCCGTGCAGATATCCTCCAGGAGGTCGTGCTCTGCATGTGTCGAATCAATTGCCAACTGCCCTCGGGCCCCGACATGGCCTCATGATGCTCCATCGGCCCGAGAAAACAAATCCCAGCTGCCTGCCGATGCACGAGACCCACGAGTACGAGGCGAGGCTCCACGGCTAAAGCCAGGCTAAAGCCAAAGAACAGGCGCCTGATCCAAAAAATGCTGGAAGAGCTCAGCCAGCTGCCCGAGGAAAACACTGCAGCTCGACTCGGACGTCTCTACCTGCAGCGTTACAGGCACTGAAGTCCGAGTCTAACATAGTCTAACTTGCAAGCTGCGCAAGAAGCTGTGCAACCATCCCGAACGTACTCTACGTCCATGGCCTTCTCCAAGGTCTGATGCATCTTGGCCAAAGCATCATGAACCTTCACCAGCGTCGTTACAAAGGTGTCCTCCAGCCATGATGCGAGTCTGTGCTAGCCTGCTGAGAAGTTGGCTCTTCTCCTTCCGCTTGCTACGTAAGAGACCATGGGGTTCTCCCAGTATTCTGGTGCGCGTGGCACCGTGTTCGCTTTCCGCCCTGGCCAGTGCAGAAAGGGCAAAGCACTTCGGGCATGTCTCGTGGCTGAGAACGACACCACCTGTCGTGGAAGTACAGCAGGTGTGCTACAAACCTGAGATGCAACATCCGGTTGACACGGCGGCAGGAAGATAACAACCCTGCCGGGCGGCTCTTTGTAGCGGCACATGACGTGAAGGTCCATTTCCCGGTCACTGAAATGTCGATGCTCGTAAGCCCACTCTTTGAGCAGCTCGCAGGTCAGAATCCGTGCGTTCACCCGCGTGTATGACAAGTAGCCCTTGCTCTCCTTAGCTTGAGAGGAGAGTGCTTGGGCCCAAACACGGCTCTCCTCTCAGTGGCGAAATCTGAAGTTCAGAGACGTCTCCAGGTAGGCCATGATCCAGTGATAGATCTTGGTGACCGTCGACTCGTGCCTGAAGCTGGAGATGGTGTCCTTCTTGATTGGCACGAACTTGGCAATCTCCTTCCCAGAACAAGTGAAAACCGCACACTTTGCTCCCCGGCCCGGCCCGGCCCGGTCCTCCTGCTTCAAGTCGGCCAGCTGGCTGATAGGCAAAGCGCTGACCAATGCACTCTTCCAGGAATCTTCTCGCCCATGCTCATCTAGTGACCCACAGAGGTGCAGCTGAATAAGTTCCTGCATTTTGCAGATTTCTTAGGGTCCTGTATGACAAGGGGTGCTTTTCCCGAGCTTCTGGAGCTGGATGCATCCAAGCATCTGCAACCACCTGGGCAAAGACAAGAAACACGCCTGCTTCTTCTGGAAAAACATCAGCTGGTCGGTTGCGAAGGTCTAGGGCGCAGGCGCTTTCCTCATTCTTGAAAGCCATGCGCTCAATAACGGCGTCACATCTTTCTCATGATCTGAAGACCATGCTGGAGACCATCGGTGTGCGCACACTTGTCAGTCCGAGAAGCGTGACAGGGTTTGCTAGTGTACTGAGTAAGCTGCTTCACCGTTGCGAAAGCTTGCACCGGAACCTGTGAGACCCAAACGTGCAGCCGTATCGATTTGAGATTTCGGTGTTGCTTCGAGATGCTTCGAGCCTTGCTAATGGGAACGCCATTACTTGCCCTCAGCCTCCGTTTTTGCCTGCTAGTTGAGGCACGTGCCAGATGCAGCTGCAAGCACGCTCACCTTTTTGCACTTCACGCGTGGGGCTGTGGCATTGCTGCAACTCCGCTTGCCTGCAGAAGGCCGACGTGCAACATCAGTCGTCGTGCGTGCTGCTTGAATACCTATGGCCCATGGCAATGGAAATCCTCCCCAACCCCTTGCGGCCAGCGCTCACGAACAGCAGACATGTACCAAAAGCGAATTGCAATCCCAAGCTTGAAGGCGTGCAAGCGAGTTGCAGCTCATCCGAGGCATGGTGAAGAACTTGAGGTCCACCACGGTTCAGTGCCGTCATCACCAGCTCTCTGTCGGCCCTGGCCGGGTGTTTGACTGCAGCTGCAATTTCCTTTTCTTTGAAAAAGGCAATGGCATGCGCAACATCTCTGCAGCACGCGTAAACAACAATGCATCAGAAGCATTTACGTCATTTTGTGCGAACGCAACTCGTCGAGTCCCAACAGGGAGCGAAATACCCTGGGCACCCTTTTCTTTCACCACTCTTGGTATGCGCCACCAGCCTCGGTTTGATGGGCTCAAGCGAGCTTCGGACTGTGTCTTGAAGTAGCGGCACCGAGAAACACTGATGGAGAAGACACCCTTCGGGGGATGTGCGGGTCTTGCACGAAGCTGCACCTGGAATGCATCACTAAATCAGTTGCTGACATCGCTACGCACAGTCCCGCCTCGCTCACGTCGGAGTCGTCGTCTTTTGGAGGGCTCTTTTTCCGTGCCCCGGCATGAATTGCTACGAAACCCTGCGCTGGGACCGTGATCTTGGCCGTCTTCTCACTGTCCACCTGGTTCACGAACACGCAATCGGGCAGAGGCCGGCATGAGTCTAGACACTTCGCCGCACATAGGTATATAGTATATATATATATATATATATATATATGTCCCCCCCATGGATCTACCATTTTCGTGTGTTTCAGAGGCCCACCCCACGAAAATGGTAGATCCTTGAGGGGAGGGGCTAGCCGATGTACCATTTTGTGGTTGGGTGAACTCCACCTTGGCCCGATTGAGTTCAATCGGGGCCGATTGAGTTCAATCGGGGGCCGGATTGAAGATTGAAGATTTCGTGGAACACTTTCTCCGGGTATCTTCAATCTTCAATCTGGCCCCCGATTGAGTTCAATCGGCCCCGACTGAGTTCAATCGAGGCCGCTTGAGTGCAATCGCAGTTCATCCCAAGTGAGCAAATTATTCTATAAGGCATTCTATGGTGCATTCCAGGGGTATTATGCGGTACTCAGAGGTGCTAGCTATTGGGCAAGTATCCGCTGTGCAACTGGATCGATGGTCCCTGAATATCACCATAATGAGGTTCCGGGCTAAGCCTCGCGGCAATTGATTTGTGCAGGCACCTCTACTCGGATGTGCAACCCTGTTCGTTCGCTAGCCTTCAGCCTTCAGTCTCTTGGCTCCTGTCCACTCAGGAGTATACACAAGCAAATACGGGCGTGACTAACTTTCATCCACACAAAGTATTGCTGCCACACAGGGTTTGCGTGCATGAAGGCTTGAAGCAGTCAAGAGATTTGGCAAGTTCTTTTTCCACCGTGCCTTGATCACTGGGCATCCAACTCCATCCGAACTCGCCACATCACAGTAGTCACCTAGCAAACAGCATTCGCAGCGCGTCTCCCTTCACCTGGTTCAAGGCAGAACCCGAAATGTCGCTTGTGTTTTGCCTGGGTCTAGCGGCAAGTCGAGGCTGACCACCCATTCGTCGGACTCTTGCCGGTTGAATGCGATGCATGCCACGCTACCTCAGGTCATGTTCCAAGTCTTGCTGAGACTGCTCATCGGGCAATTCGCACGGCGCAGGGTCCATTTGCAGCTTCAAGCTTCCGCGGCAAAAGGAGACTGTGTCTTCACTGAGTGCCGTAAAATGCGTGATGGGACTGTCGCCGGCAGTGTGGCGCCATGCTACCATGTTCGCGATGCCAGCCCACCTAGCAGCTTAGCTCAAACAAACGCAGGCCACGAACCCGAGGCAACAATGCCAAAACCTTGTGTTTGGCTTGCTGCAGGGGCAATCTGCTTCGCAAGTGGAGCGAGCCCTGTCTACAACAAAGTTTCTCGCCAAATGAATGTCAAACTGGCTTCAAGTTAGCGGCATGCTTGGCATGCAACTGTTTGCTGATTTTGGTTTGTCCCTTTCGTGTTTAGCCGGGCCGGGTACACTCTGTATCTCATGATCGCAACATGCGATCTTTCCTCCTTCCACCCGGACGTCAAAGGACCCTCCCTTCGCAAACGAGAGCCTAAGGAGCACAACCGCCTGAATGGTAGCTTCTCTGCCCGGGGCCCCCGAGCCAACCGCCTGCAAGAAGTTGCAAGTCTTTGTAATAATTATGCTGGACTAGCAATGACAACAATCAACAACCATTCATGCCGGCGGACTTCCAGCGATCTGCCAGCCAAGGAGGCTTAGCTTGGTCATCCCAGCACTGTGCCACAAGAGCTTGCGACTGTCGCTTGATGCCACACATGTTTACAGAGTTTACAAGTCGTTCTGGCACATTCTGCGTTGCCCGTTTGTCCCTTCTGTTGAGTCGTGAAGTACATCGGTGTCAAAAGCATGCGCACTAGCAAGGGCTGAGGACTGGCCAAAGTCCCCTTTGTTCGGGCCACGCCTGTGCTCACAAACCCATGGCTGGAATTCTCCACAACGGAGGTCTCCGTCTTCTTTGTGAACAGAAACTGAAGGTGGACCTCACAGTCCAGAACAAGCACCAGTTGCCACAAGGGACGTCACGTGAAAAGCTTGCAAACTCTCTGCCGCCATCAGACTCTCTGAGTGCTACTGTGAGGTGAATTTACCTGAGGCATCCTGACGTGGCAAGTCCTGGGCAGGGCACCTTGGTCATAGTCGCTGAAATGAAAAGAGCTCATGATCTGAGGATACCCATAGGGATGGGCCAGCATGAAGGCACTGGCCAGTTGATATAGCCTTCCAGATTTGTAAGTCAGCTTTGCCGCGTTGCTGCTGTCCTCTCACGTCATGCAGGTTAAAAGCAATTCGGCATGTGCACACGTGTATGGAACGAACGGAGCTCGGATCCTTGGAACGCTGCGTGTCGTGGTTATCCACAAAGACCACTGCCGAAGAACCTGGCACCAGATCTGGTGCCCCTCCTAGTGATTCCAAATTCGACATGCGGCCCGACTCTGCAATGCCCTGGTCAAGCTGTGGGTAATAGTTGAATTCGATGACGTCTACCAGATCAACATATAACTCTTCTGTCACGACATCTGTCGTAGTCGCTTTCGATACCTCGGCGTATTTGAGCAGCTTGTTGCCGTCTTTAACTTTGTCAAAGATCTTGGCCAAGTCGGCTTTTGGAATATGCTTGGCGGCATCTAGCCTCACACCAGCCACACCAAGCTCTACCAGTTGGCTCAAGTACGCTGCGATCTTGCTTTGCACGCCTTCGCACTCGGTGCAGAGATCTGGCAAGCCCTGCAAGTCACAGAATTGAACGTTGTGAATGTCTGCAAAATTGCTTACGCCACAGTTTCCGCTGGTGTCGCCCGGGATGTGGTGGAAATCCTCCGGGCTGAAAATGGGAGTTTTTCGTCCACCGTAGATGTTGCCACTGATGCTCGTCCCTTTGTTTGCAGCGCAATGGTTGAGCACGGCATCGACATAGACTTGAACATTTGCCTTTCTGCAACGCTTCACCATCGAAGCAAACTCTTTCTCATCCCCGGAGCGACTGGTTAGGTTGTACGTGACGGGCTGATAGCGCGTCCACCACTCGTGGCCCTGAATATGCTCTGTTGGAGGTGACACTTGCACTGCGGAAAAACCCTTCGGACCCAGCCAATCCTCACACTCTCTGGCCACGTCTGGCCAAGACCATTCGAAGAGGTGCACGAAGACCCCACTTCGGCCCTGGGGTTTGCGGCGCAGCCCGGATGCCAGCAAGGGCCACAGCAGGAGGATCAGAAATTTCATGAAGCTGCGCGACGGCTCAAGGGTGCTCGCCAGAGCGCAGAAGCAAAAGCTTTCAGTACCGGAGATGCGTCTCGAGACAACGCTTGGGCAAAAAGTATCGGAGGACGACGCTCCTGTCAGGTTCCTAGGAGCCGGCCCGGGCCCCTCAACATCTCAAGAACACTCTGCCGCCAGTGGTGTGACATATATATAAAACATCAGGCAAACGCAACTACCGAATGGCCTCAGCGTACCTGAGGCGTACATCAGCATGCCCCCATCCTGCCTGAGTGGCGGTTTGCATCTGGTGTTGCTACTAACCACTACCTGGCCTTCACATACTTTTACATCTCACCAAATGAAATGATTTTCCTGAAAGCCAAGCCGCGCGACGGCTTCCATCATGATCTCACGGTCAGACCCTGCCTCGCAGGTCGCAAAGGAAACTGCATAATAGAACTGGACTGAAACTGAAACTGCTGACTGTTGCAAGGGCTGAAGAGCCTTGAGCTCCGCAGCGGCATACTCCAGTGCGCGACAGTCCGATCGAACTGATGTCAGGACAACCTGCTGCGGGCCGTGCCGTTGAGAGGAAAGAAACATGAACCTTGAGTGCTCGAACCAAGCTCGCAGCAATATACGTTGCTCTGCCGGCAACTTCAGACCCCTGCTAGGTGTCTCAGCATTGATGCTCGAGGGCTTCGGACGGTATACTGGCATTGGACATAAGCTGCAAGGGCCACATTGCGTCAACTGCGCACACTCAAATCTACAAGTAGTGATCTTTCCGTACGCATGCACGGACGGACCTCTCGGTCAGCGCGAAGATGCCGCGAAGCATGTTGCAAGGCTGCTCCTGCAAGTGATCAACAAAACGCCGGCATGAACGCCAACAGTCATCACACAAAGGCGATGACGTCGATTTGTCTGCTCATGGCGCACGGAGACATGCCAGATTAAGTCCATCCTTTACTGCTGACGGCAGCCAGCACCACTTCCTCCAGCTCATTGCGAGACTGCACGAATACTGATAGGATGCAGTACATACACTGCGTGCGATGGTCAACTTGCCTTGCTGGACCTCAGAGGCCCCTTGGCTCAGGGAGAGTGGATTCTGCCCTGTTCTGCTCTGCAAAGGAGTTGACTGGTTCATTTGGCCGTGGCTCCGAGATGTGCTGAAGAAGTTCCCCGTTGCCTCTCAAAGCTTCCACGGCCAAGTCCTTGCCAGCACCTTAAGGGCATCTTGAGCTGACAGTGTTTACAGAAGCAGAAGATCTCTCTCAGGTACCGGCCGGCAGCGCCCGTTGCCAGGAGGTAAACATGAGGGCACTGCTTCACTGCAGTCGCGACCTGCACTACTCTGTACATTGAGCGGGAAACAGCAGATGCGGTCCCGAACAAGTGCTGGGAATCCAGGCCAGAGTCGGATCACTTCGCAGTGCTAAGCTTGCATATTGAAGAGCGTCCCCGGATTGTTGAATGGCTTGTGCCACCTGTATAAGCACGAAGCCAAAGCGCAGTCGAAGCAAATCACTCCCCGGCATCGTGGCTGATAGGGAACAACCAGTGCAGGCAGTTCGCTACTTCGGGGTCAGCTTGTAGCCGCTGCGATGCAAACTTCAAGAGAAGGCCGTCCATCCCCACAGCTTTCATGACAATGCCTGGCTGCTGAAAGCCAGCTTTCAACCTTGAGCTTTGATAGTTCTGATAGTTGCAACGTCCAGCAAGCTTTATGGTCAGCGGCAGTTCGCAACCGGCCTTTGTCATCCCTGGGACCATCTAAAGCGTGCTGAAAAGCTGCTGGACCTCGTTCGAGCGCCTCGGAAGGAGTGGTGGTCTGGTTGATGACCTCAAGACATGGGCTCCGCCGTCAAATCAAGCTGCTAGCAGCACCACGTCCGGATCTTGGCGAAGCACATCGCTGGCATACCTCTGCACAGCCCAAATGCTGGCCGCGCCAGCTTAACTACGTACAAGTAAGTCGTGCTGCTGCAGAGCATCACCATCCTGCCGCACTGCCTGTGCCCACGAAGACACTGGATCTAAGCTGGGCTTAGGTGCTGAGCCGTGCTCGTAAGGGCGTACCATGCAGAAGCGATGACACCGAGAGAGCCAGCGAAAGAGGCGACTGCGGATCAGGACTCTTGTGTCCACCTGTGCTTCTCAGTGTCGGCAGAAAACGGATGCCTTCAGGACAAGCTCGCGGTCGCCGCGCATCTCTGCAGCAGCATGTTGCAGGGCTGATCCAGTCTGCTGAATCGACATTGCCACCACATCACGGTCTGCCTCTGGCAGGGTATCTCCAGAAAATCCGAAGGTGTTCCAATACATTCATCGACAGCAGCAAGGAGGCCTTCCATCCTGGTTCCAAGTCGTCCTGAGATCTCAGTCGGGTCACAGTATCTATCTGGTCGCGTTGGACCTACTTCAGTAAAGCTTTGAAGGGGAGATCATGCGAGTACTGCCAAGCATCTAAGATGTCAGGGTCGTTTTGCACGGCAGCCAATATGATTTCCTGCCAGAGTAGAACGGACAGAGACCGCTGAGCAGTGCGCATGTTGCGACGTACAGCCTTGTCGAATGTGACACCTTTCTCTGCAGCGGCATATAGAAGCAGCCCCGCGCGATGTTGGCGAGCATGCTGCCTCGAGTTCGGCCGTCCTACCTGCGCGTTCTCGGCTCCAGATTCCCAGATCGCGCTCAGGTGCAGTGAATGCAGCAGTTGAGCTTGTGCAGGACTTCGCTGCAGCAGGCTCAGGTCCAAGTTGCCGGATCCCAGGCCTCAAAACCAAACCCAGGCAGAAGTGTCTTCGGTTAGACTGTGCTCCTTCCGAGTCGAACCAACCGCCCTCGCAGATTGTTTGTGCAAAAGAGGAGCAACTTTGGCTGCACAAGCTGTCAGGAAAGCCTTATGTTAGGAATTACTAAGTCGGCGATCAAGCTCACGTGATCAGACGGGAAAAACTCATTTGGCAGTCTCTCCGGGAAGTTTTCGGCAAGTTCGTCTGCGTCGGGAACATCAAGGACAGCCTGAGCATGGACTCCCTTAGACACGAAGATGTGATCGCAGGTGGCCTTGAAATCGCCTGATGCCCAGCCGGCCCAAGTTGTGTACTTTGGGATGCTGTGTCCATACTGTAACCCGAGATCTGTGTATGCACACTTAAAGCCGCAAGCTGATAAGTAGTCGAAGACGTTGGCGATCTCTGTGCGGCTGCTCCCCATCATCTGTTTGCTGTTGATATCTGCCAAGATGATTTTCTCATCGTCCCGGGAGAAGTCCTGCAACGCTGACACCAATGCAGACGCTTGCTGCACACGGAAGCCATCATCGGCCGACGCCCGCAAATGCGACGTGCAAACCACGATACCCTTACTCTGCCGATCCCTGGGCCACAATCGCTGCAGCACTGCGACCTGCGCAGCTTTGGTGCGCTGCCGGCCATACCTGCGAATCTGGCCGCCAAACACTAGCATGCTGCATGCATGAATGCAAAATGTGACGGAAGCTTTTCGCTACCAACGCACGCTTGATTAATGGAATGCCAAGTCTCTCCAAAAAGATTGTACGCCGCACACCCTCTTCGAACTTGTCTGCTCTCCAGAACACAGCGACTCCATCTTTAGCTGGACTGCCTGCCGCCAGACATCTCCAGCGGTGCACAACTCGCAGAAACTGCAGCTTAATTACTACGAAGCTGACGAAGATCTGAGAACCGCGCGCTTTCGCTTGAATGTTCCTTGGAAGCCGGCTCGTTCAAGCTCCGGCTCAAAGAAATCATCGAAATGATCCACTTCGCAAAGTCCCACAATGTCGGCATCATACCGCAGAATCTCCTCCCACGCGCATCAATTTGAAGAATGCCTATAATGACGTTTCTGAGTATGGGAGTCTCCCAGTCTGGCCGCTTTCGCAAACTGAAGCGGTCAATGTTGTGAGCGTTAGGATCTGCAACTTTCCCGGGGTGCTGCCACCTAGACTCGCAGCCTTGCAACCTTGTTTGTGTTGGTACATTGCATTGTTGTTTCAGAACTTCGTGTGAATCATCACATGCATTGGCTTGAACATCGGCAGTATCTTCACAGCGGTGCAGTGCTTCCGTAAACAAGCACAGACAGTTTTGTTCTCATAACCTGCCTGGCTTCTTGGCATCGGAGCCCTTTTCCGTGTCAGACCGAACTGGCGAACACGAGTACGGAGATTGCGCAGCAAGTCGCACTGGAACAGGACTGCCGCCATGCGGTGGTTGCTGCAATAGCTTCAACTATTATGTGCTACAGCATGTGTCTCGCCTCCTTGACTTGCTCACGGCGGCGCTCCCAACGCAAAACTTCCGCTTCGCATCGGAAGCCGCGCTGCAAGCTCAGCAGCGGCGAGCTCTTCGCCAAGCAGTCAGCCAGCACGTTCCTGAGGCTAGAGGCCATTCAAGCCAACCCGTGTGCTACGACAAAGAAAGAAAACAGATAGTCAAAAGCGCTGTTGAAGTGATGTTCAAGGCTCCAGAAAAGAACTCGTATGCCTTGACCATGCGAGGCAGCAGACGCCTGAAGCCACTGTCTTGGTGGAAGGCCCGATGCGAGGCAGATGCGCCCGGGACGAAACATGTTGCCAGTAGCATTCCAACGCAGAAGCTGGCCGTCTCGAACCGTCGCGATATCAATTATCAGTCGTGCCACAGCCAGCCATGGCTTGGGCAAACTGTCACAAACACTTCAGCCATCTGTCGAACTTTGCTTTAGCTTACGTGGTCATGTAAGGGCAGCTTGGCACTTCTGCTGCGGAGCAGGTAGCACGCACTGACGCCAACAGCTGAATACAACAGCCACAACTAGCCTGCATTGTCTCATTGGCCATGAACTTGAGAGCAGGGCTACGAAAGCTAGAAGCAGGACGGTGGAGGCTTGTGATAAGTGCTAACAACTCTAAGCTCTACAAACGGCTATGAGCAACAACAAATCGAAACTCTACAAGCGGCTATGCTTGCAAGCATGGCCTTCAGGGGGGGGGGGGGAAGGGGGACCCCCCCGACCCTTAAATCAGCTGATTTGAAGCCGTTTTAGGCCACAGGCCTTCGTTGCACCCATAGAACTACCTATGAAGTAGTTTGTGAACGACAACTCCAAGCTCCAAAGAGCTGGCTTTCGTGATAAGCCCGATGAAGTGTGCTCAAGCTCACCGAGCGGCAGCGCAGACATTGAAGATCATCGGCCAACACCTGCCTGGTCGTCGTTTCGGCTGCGGTTCTCAAACCAACAAGGCACTCTAGCAGTACAGCACTGCAGTCTATGGCCTCTTCCATAGAAGTTGCTGGCACGCCCGTGGTATGGTAGTGGCCTCTTCGATCGAATCCTTTACTTGCCTGCAGCACGGGCTGAAAATTGGCAAGAGTTGATCTAGAAACAAAACCAGAGCCACAGCACAACCAGTTTTGCCCATCGTACACGAGAAACCCATATTAGTAGCAGGTCATGACTCTTGCGCAAATCGTCGTGTGATAAATTTCAGACGTGATCATGCATCGCCTAATCATCCTCCCGGGCAGGGCTTCTGCAAAACTGCCAAGTGGAAAGCAGCTGCCATCATACTAGGACTGCTAGGAGCCCGAAGAGCCGCCACCACTCCTCCTCCCCTGGTTGAGCATTCGGGTGGCCTCAAGGTCCAGTCCTTCCCTGCTCTGAGCGTGCACAGTTCGCCAGCCAAACCACTCACAGTAATCGACCTCGATTCAGTATCAGAGCATGTCAGCTGTGTCGCTGATCCCTGGGTTCATGTCAGACCAGGCAGCATGGGGGAACTACAGGCAAGCCGCACACTCATCTAGCCGCAGCATCGGGAGCAGCGTGAGCCGCGATGTGACCATTGCAGAAGGACTTATACGGTCGGCAGATGCGAGCTAGCAGGGACATATCCTGGGCACCTCTCATGTCTTATATCTTTGAGACAATTGAATGTTGTCTCTGCTCGTGTTTCAGCTCGGGCTGTTAGCAAGTGTGCTGCTGCGTCCTGATCCAAACAGCTAGTGAAACTAGCCGTCGTTACTTCACAAATCCAGCACCCTCCCCAAAAATTAACAAAACCCGTCAGAAGCACTTTCTCGTGCCCTGCCTTTCCATGCGAGGCTGCGAACCTGACCATTTGCGGTGCAATAGCAAGTTACAGCATGGACATGCTTCTAGTTGGCAGTGACAGTTCCAAAGCGCATGAAACACCCACGAATTGACTCCAAATTTCATTGATCTGCTTTTCCCACTGGCGCCAAACACCAAGGGAGACAGAAAGGCCGGGTCTCTGCGTTTTGAACCATGGACAAGCTCCTAAGGTGAAATCGACCTGTCGTCCGTCCAGCAGAACCTTCACGGACATGACATGCCCGGATTGTTAGGCTGCAGGACTGGGGAATCTTGAAGTACTGAGAACATCTCGCAGATCTGTGCTTCTCTGCTTCTCCTTCCAGATCCCCTCTGCACGCAGCCGCGGTTGGCTGTCTCCGGGCTCGCGTCGAGCCCTGCTCGTCCTTCGGGATCGGCCGGGCATGGCTAAGGCCGACAATCAAGACATCTGAACGACAACTTCTTCGGCAAAAGCCAAAGGGGGCTTTTATCAAAGGGGGCCTTTTCGGGATTCAGGCTGCCCGACAACTACAATAGGGTTGGTGGAATCGGACATCTACCAGCACAAGGTCAAGCCGATCGAAGTAGCAGCTCAAGGGGGATGCTTTGCAAATACTCAATCATGCAACTGGCGTTGAAACACAAATGCTTGGACAAGGCTGCTCTTGGGCTGAACAATGGCAACACTGCAGGACGGCTCAGGGACTTGGGACAGAAGATTGCCAGTGCGTCCGACCGCCCGGCCAAGCGTGACAAGAGCATAGCGGCGACGGGTGGCCAGGAAGGAAGAAACCCGTGTGAATCTCAATGTGACGAATATCAAATGCTTCGGGATTCAGAAAGCAACTCAGCGAAGAAAAGAAACACAAACAGCTCAATCAATTTCCCTACCGTCAAGAGCTAACACTCGTTCGGACAAACTCTACTGGGAATCGTATCGACATGCTACTCGCGGACTGTCTGTTACCGACTCTGGCTGAAAGCTGTTGCAATGCCAGCATGATTGCACAAACTCGTGGCGATGCAGCAGGAAACTTTGCTCACCAGACGCTACTGCTGTTCGTGGGTTCTTGCTGTCCGGCTTACCAGCCCATGTTTTGTCAACAAGCTCTCTGGCTTCGAAGCCATCCCCTCCCGTGCAAGCGGTGTCATGGTTTCGAGCTGGCTCCAGCTTTCCACAAAGGAGAAGCTTCGTTTCTTTGGCTGATGTGCACTCGCAGGAGCAGAAAGAGAGATCGTCCCAAGAACAACCGTTTGCTGAACATAGTGGTGAGATAGCATGGATGGCCCACCCGTGCAACAATCTCCCGCTTCGCCAAAGGACCTTTGGGAAAAAGCCCCCTTTAGACCTTTCCGACTTCTGATAAGGACGCAAACTTCCTTGTCTCTCTACAGTATCCCGGCGCACCAGCTGTATGCATTGGTTTACTGGCAAAGATACTCATCATACTTCTGGCATCTGCAAGTCGTATGCATGTGCGTATGCCAGCGGACCGAGGGAGATTACTGCCGCTGGTCCACAATGGTTTGCAAGGAGGCGAAACCCTCAAACTGGAGCCGGCTGGCCTCTCTGCGTTGTTGCCAAGGCTGAAGATCTGAAGGCGAAGGAACGGGACCTCTTACACCTCGTCCTTGGCGCTTCAAAGCTCTGCGAGCCTCGGCCTCGGCGGTGGCAGGTTCGGATCGCCACCCAGGGCCCGTGCTGCCGTTTCCGCAAGCTGGCGGCACCATTCCATAAACTGCCGAGCGTTCGTGGCCAGGATCATGAACTTTTCCACAAAGTCGGGAAAGTAATGAGGCGTGCGTAAGTAGTCTTCAATGTCAAGCAGAAACTCGACACCGCTCGGGCTCCTGCGACTGTAAGCTGCTGAATGCTCGACGCAAGAACAACAGAGACATGCTGCTACTGCTACGGTATCCGGTCGCACTTCACTTCTATCTTTGAAGTTCGCGGGTCTTGAAAGTGTGGAAAACAACTCTTGGCTGCGAACGTCGGCCTTTGGCTCTTCAGCCAACATGCCCTTATCTGTAAGAACGTGCCACTCACCAACCAAGAGCATAGGGCTCTACACGCATCAAGCAGAGGTCCTCCAACCTTGGGTCTGCATTTCCACTTCGGCCGTCATCTGCAGCCCATATTGCCAAACTCGAGCGGCATCATGAAGGTTCGGACACAAGCGACTGTGAGGCGATGCTTCACAGTTCCAGAGTGCACCTGTGGGACAGGGCTTTGCCAGAGCTGACTTTGGGTAGCTGGCTTCTCCTTTGCGTATCATGTCCAGCCTGAGTTCAAAATGCCAAGCAGTGCCCGAGCGGGTTTGATCAAGTGGTGACAGTCAGACAGTTCGCGCCGGAACCACGTCGCTGACACAGGCTCGGGGTGTGCACCCCAGATATCGTTCCCATCTACGACTATGTCCACCGCTTTGTCGAAAAATGTTTCGATCGGGTAAGGCTTGTTGTTATATGTGGTTTTGATGTACGAGAACGGCTCGTCTGGAGGTGGATCTCCCGGAACCCAGACATTGAAACGGCTTCTGTAAGACGGAGGCAAAGCCCGCTCATACAGAAATCCTCGACCATATGACCCTAAACCCCACGGGGCATCTAATGAGGATACATCGAAGTCTTGAAAAACATAGCTCGCATTGAATGTGGTATACACTTCATGGCCATTCTCCATGAGGCCAACCAGGAGCAGCTCCCTCAAGTAGTCTACAGGTTTCTCCGTGGTCGCATATGAGTGTATGAAGACTCGAGGCAAAGCGTGAAGTTCGGATGCTCGGCTCTTGCACAGCATGTGGCTCTCGACATACGAGAGCATGGCTGTCCGCAATCTCTTATACTCGTTCAACGGAAATACTGCTCGATCGATCAGAACATTCGCATTGGTACTTTGGCCGAGCTTGCCAAGCCTGCTGGCCAGGAAGTCTTCGCCTGGCACCCCTGGAAGTTGCATGAGCCTGCGCACGAGGTCATGTGGAAAATGTACCATGCTGCGGCTTGGCACCTTGGCGATGTCAAAGAAGTAGGGCACACAGCCTGCCAGCAATATCTCGTAGTGCCGCAAGCAGTCCCAGCCACCCTTCTTCTTTGTAATGCAGTAGAGGGAAGATGCATACATCTCCAAGTAGGGCAGCTCTGTCGAATAGTTGTAGGTACGGGCATCTCCTGGAATTAGGCCAGCAAAGTCTTTCTTTTCCTCAATTTTCAATTTTTCGCGAAGCGGTTGGTAATGGTTCCACTTGCCTGAGAGGGCATTCGATGCTTTTCCAAGAACACATTCTTAGATTTGGCTTCATGCACTGAATCCCTACTCTCCCTCACACACTGCACCAACACAAGCGGAGTTAACCCAGAACCCGGGATTTGGGAGTCTCTGCAACGGGCACGAGACGGGAGATTGATTTGCTCCTAGATGCTTGTGGGGATAGAGTACTGCATCGGTGTTGCAAGCAGTTTCTGCTGCCAGCAGAAACTATCCACTGAAGAAATGCTGTCGGCAAGCCACTGGGAAGGAGCCATGTGCATTGTGTCGAGCCGGCTCACATAATGGCTGCAGCCAGAAAACAGAACCGTTGGATGCTTTCCCCTCGACGCAGCCCTCCAGCCAGTGGACCTACATTCGCCCTTCCGGGCCCTTCCCGCACCCCGCCTTCGGCTAACGGAGCGACCTGAGAGCGCAAAAAGCAGGCACTGTTTGACACAAGTCACAAAGGATCCGATGTGGCTCTGGCGGACTCCAGCAGACCCCAGCAGCACGCGTTTGAGCTTTCGTTCAGGTGAAACTGCTTGCTCCATGTCTGCGAAGCAAGGCTGTTCAAGGAGGCTCGAGGCTTGTGGAAAAAGGTCAGTGCGCTTCGCGGTGACTGGCCTACTGCCTACTGTACCATCTCTAAACCAATTCGAATCCCTTCCGAAAGCGTGATTCGCCTGCTCACACGGCATAGTGCAGCACGGTGAGCTCAAGCATCTCTTGGTTGTTCGCCCGAATTCTGGCCAACAACTCTTCGGTGGTGCCCGAATCACCGTTGACTGCGATGATGCGGTCATGAACGTGCACGGCTTGATCCGGCATGCTCTCGTTCCATTGACTCACAAGGCCGGGAGTTATCTTAGAAATCCATGGGGCCACAGCACCAACCCTTTTGTAGTTGATGATGAGGCCGATTTCACCTGGCCGCTGTAGTGATACTCTTCTCTCCTCTGGTCGCTGCATGGTAAGTGAGAACTCCTGCGTATCTGGATTTCCAAGAGCTTTCGCTAGCTCTATGCTCGATCCACGAACTCCGTTCACTTCCAGCACCCGGTCCAGAAGCATCACGGTTTTGTCTTCGGAGCACTCCTGGTTCCAGTCCCGAACACGTCCTTGGCCGATGTCCTTGACAACAGCACACTCCGGATTGGTCACGTCCAGGACGATGCCAAGGGGTCTGCTTTCCGTTGACACGGAAACCAAGAAGACATCGGGTATCGAGTCTGGTCTGAAAGCTGGAGCTGTTTGGATGAAGGGCCTCGTCGCTGGCAGTCTTTCCTCAAACTCAAGGTCTGGCGGAGGTTTGTCATCTGCTGTGCAGCAGCACAGCATCATGGGCCCGAGGGCTCCTACTTGCCCAGCATGTGACCAATGTGTCCACGGGACACCTATATAAGCCAGAGTGGCTACACCAAGTGTGGCTGCACGGCACGTGACAACTGGCATGAGAGCTATGCAGCGTTGCAAGCTACTCAGTCCATATTTTGTCATGACGACCCCAGCGTACTAAACGTCAAAATTAGAAAACGACCTTCATCGTGCACACGATTGCGCAGTATGCAGGTCTGCAATTGTGGAGCTTGAAGGGTGACACGACCCACGAAAGAACCAAGACCATGCCCAGGGTGGCACTTTAGTGCACCCTTTAGCCAAAAGGCCTTGAGAAGAGCAGCCTCACAGTGGAAAATGCTCGTGTCTGGGACATGGGCAAAACAGTCAACACCGGAAAGTCAGCAGTATGTTCCAGGCATGTACGGGAGGTTTTGCAGCCCAGCTAACACGAGCCGAACATGTGAGTCCTAAATACTGGCTTGCGACGTGCGGTTGCAGGCAATTCGCCCTTCCTTTCAGAATGAGGGCAGAAATACAAATCACTCTAAATGACAACCTGCCCATCTGGAGATGCTGCGGATGGTCATACTGTCGGAGCCCTAATCCGAGTTCACTTCTGCTCCGGGATGAAAGTTTCTCGGAAAACGGTCTTCTCGATCCTGTCAGGCAAGCCGATTGACTGTGAGTAGCGTGAAGGTCAAAATGGAACTGCAGGCCTCCACAAGCTGTTCATCAAACCTGCTACAGTAGTATGCGAGACTGCCAAACGGAGGTCCTGTAGATCTCCGTCACTTCGGAGTTTGCGCTGACTTGTGCGGCTATGATGTCATCGACTTCCACCTTGTTTCTGCGCCCGAGAGGACTCGAGGGGCCGGGCTATTGGCAGCATTAGGCAGCCTACAGGCCTACGAGTACACCGGAAGCCCGCAGCAGGAACCGAGGTGTCTCACGGTCTCTCTCTTCTGTGCTGTGCGCTTAGTCCAGCGCCGAGCACGGGGAGCCCCATTTGGCCATAAACTTCTTTGAAGGACAGTGCCTTGGCATGGAGTGGTTGTGATTCGCAGGCTCTTGCACTGTTGCCCTCGAGGCCAGGCCTCTGGAGAAACTCATCCGTGGCGCGCAATGCGCGAATGCGAGTGCGAGACCTCGGAAAAAGGATGCTCATACGCACGAAGGAGAGCACTCTAGAGCACAGCCTAGGCTCCGGCCTGTAGCATCGGTATCCGTCCTTGCGCAGCTGCTGGGCATCCTCCCGGCCATGAGGGATTTCCAAGGGAGTCGCCAAATCCTTGGGCAACAGAGAGCTCAAGATCAGCAGGCGACGTCGCGAGTCCATTGCGAGACTCCCTCGAACAAAGCATGAGCATTGATCCGTGGCTCATAAGCTGCCGATGTAGTCGCATAGGAAAGGATATAGTTTTCCTTCCACCGAGTGTTGGCTTGCCTTAGCACACATCCGAGTAATGCTGATGTTGGGCAGTATGTAAGTTGATGGGAAAGCCATAGCTGCAACGCTCGTCAACAGCGACAACGACACCGAAGACGACATCGGTGATCGTCGTGACAGCCGAGGCACACAACGTAGTCGCCATCGACTGCAGTATTTACAGTTTCCTCTTTGCCATCCACGACGGTGGTAATGATCTCTCCTTCACGCAATGCCACAAAGAAACATTCAGAGAGAGGCCGCTAAGACCGCTCCGCCCCAACCTGGTTGAGCACGGCGCAGGAAAGCAAAAGCGACTTTGCGGTACCAACGCCTGGGTCCACAAAATGCAGCCGTGTGTTTCACTCGTCATCGGTGCACGGGTTCGCGGAACAGCAGCAGGAAGTAGGAAACTGGGGTTACAAGCTCCCTGTCTTAGGATCTTTCGGCCGCAAACCTTGCAGAACGGATGCAACCCTCAGGATAGGCACATGTTGCTCAAAGATGGACTTGGCCGAGGTCTGGCTCCCGCGCCCGTAATGCTGCTAGCGCGAGACTCGCGCTATCGACACATGTCGATATAGAGTCTGCAGGCTGGTCTTTCGGGACCAGTGGGAATGTTTCCTGCACCGCCTGCATCCATTCAGTGCAAGGAGTATTGTAGAGTGCAGAACGACTGACAGTGCCATCGCATCTGCCCGTGGACAAGCTGTTGAATGCAGCTCAATGGGCAGGCACTGGGATCAGGGACCATGATGCCATGAGGAAGAACATACCGCGTGGCATCGATGTGAAATTAAGGTCAGGAGGGGGTTGCATAGATGCGACTGCAGGGAATGACCTGCGGCATGGACTGGTCTTGCCTGCATGAGCATTTGACCCGCTGTGTCCAAGCGAGGGAGCACCCCAACAAACGTGTCTTGAGCTCACCGGAAAAAAAGATGATTTCAGCGACCAAGAACCAGGAAGCTGAAGTTGCCGGTCTTCTTTTTAAATTGCGGCAATGCCTTTCCTTCTCAATCTAGCTTTCGGCCAGAGTCGCCGGGAATGAAACCTTGCAAGGTGATGTTGCTCGACATGCCGCCGAAGTGCCCGGAGTTCAAGATCTCGTTGCTCACCCGCCGAATCATCTCCTGCGATGCGCTGATGGGTCAGCTCGTAGCTTCACAAGCAAAAGCTGCATGAGGTTGCAGGTCCTCTTGGGAGCAAATGTCCACGCCAGCGGGTCCGTTTTGCATCTCCGGTGCAAACAAGATTTCGGTATTCTCCTGCAAAGACCAAACTTTTGCACACTTGGAAGAATGCCAGAATCTGCAGTCCTCTTTGACGTTGGTCGTCTTTGGGTCTGCCTCAGGCTTCCTTTCAATGACTGCCTGCTTGTTGCTGCACATCCTCGGCTTTTGCAAAGCACCATCTCGATGACACTTGTTCCGCGGAGTCCACCGATCGGCAGCAGATCTATCAGACAGGCTCACCACTCACGGGGGTGGTGGAAGGATCCAGGCACGTATGCATGATCATGACGACCACAATCCTGGACCATCTAATGATCTAACAACTCCTAGACGCCGTGCCTGTAAGCCTCCAACTCATTCAGCCCAAAACCGAGAGCACGACCCCTGGCTCTACGCAGGCCTGTTATAAAGCAGTTCGCCAACACAGAGCAGGGAGAGGCAGCGCTTGAGGACTGAGCAGTGACGCAGCGCAGCAGTTTTGATCAAGACTTTGATGTTTGCCACTCTTCTTGGGAGCACAACTTCTGTGTCCACAAAAACTCACTCGTGCTGACCACAGGGGATCCAGTAGCGGTATCTTCTTTGCATGTCGGTGAGCCAACCTTCCCGCCCGTTGTTTTCGCACTCTTCTGCGCTTCTGTAACTGTCATAAGCCGAGGCACCTCAGCAACAAAAGCTCGGGATCCGAAGAGCTCCACTTCCCCTGTGCATGTTCAACGATCATTTCCACAGTATCGTCGGATGTCTGGTCGACCGAGTGTACAGCCTAGGGATTGGAGATAGGCTAGCAGGATCCGAAGAAGCGATTTGCGTTTCGGCTGCGGCTGCGATTTCGAACCAGGGTCTCTACCGTCTGAAGGAAAGGGTTGCCCTCGAAGTGATCCTTCAAACAAGGGCTGGTTGCACGTGAACAGGCGGGCAGGATTCTGGTTTGCTGGCTTTGAAGCTGGACCAACCGCGCTTGCCAGCAAAAGAAGACACACAGAGCTGCGAGCATCTTGCGGCCTGGATAGTGATGGCATCGATCCGCAGCGTAACGAAACTTCCCGCTTGATCATTGGTAGCCTGAGGTATGCACATGTACGCTCAGCGATGCTTTCTCCTCGAGGCCATGTCTAGGCCCAGTAGCAGGCCAAAGTTTCCGAGCGCGGCGATAGATTTCAGCCAAAATCTCGAGACGTCTCAGCGGACTGTCGTTGTGCATCCTCTCCAGATGCAGGGCCGTTGGAAGACATGCGAACATGGCCTACATGCTTTGTTTGGTATCGAATCATGAAAGTAGCCATGGTCTTTGCCACATCTTCACAGCGTTAGACGGTCAAGACCGCTCTCCGTCCTTAGCCACGATTATCTTTCAAGAAATGCGCAGAAGACATGGTAATCTATGTCTGTTTATAGGAATTGGTGTTCATATCCAACACTATGTGTGCACACAGACCACGCCACGCAGACAAGCAGAGACCGATGAAGAAACAGTCTGCCAGCGACATGCAGACAAAGGAACTGAAGGACAGACAGACGCAAACACGAACACAAACACACTCTTGCCTCTATGTAGCTCTAGACTCTATGCACATTTAAGAGTCCAACCCGTAGAGGGCGAGTTGATCAACCAACGCAGCAGCCCACATAAGCACACACGTTCACACACACTCACACACACAACTAAACCGGACCCAAGCGTACAAAGACCTACCATGTATGCAAAGACGGATGGACAGGCTGGAAGACAGGCAGTCAAACGGAGACGTGCAGGCAGACACCATAAACATACGTACATACATACAGACATACATACACACATATATGCATACAGTTTTGGCACTCGCACTCGAGACTCAGGTGACATACATAGCCACATACCCCGCTACCTACCTACCTACCTACCTACCTGCCGCCATACAAGCATACATACACTACACACACCCACAGACATACTTAAGCAAATACATGTTACATGCCTACGTACTCGTGAACGAGTTCAGTTTGCATAGCAACACCACCATACGCTGTCAAGTACCAATCCCTCTTTGCAAAGCGCGTGGTCGAGCAATGCATGCTGTCATCAGGCGCCTCTGCAAGAATGCTGGGCCATAGTAAACCAGGAATGCTGGTCCCGCCAAACGCGCCCTCACCTCATTGTTGGCAAATGATGTCGCGCAAGCACAGAAAGTCACTAAGCACGCTTCTGCCTGCAGTAACGGCTTGCACAGGGCATAGGGTGGTCATGGTAGCTGTGGTGCTCGCATGCGGGGGGGGGGAACGGTTTGCATGGTAGCTTTGGTTCTCGCATCACCGCTTGATGGTGCCGGAGTCAGATACTGCTGTGCTGCCGAGGCACACTGGATGGCACAAATCCCTCTGAAAAGCTCTGGTTCTCCGTACCTCTTCGCGTGCACAAGTCACAGCTTAAGCTATGTCCGTGGCAAAGCCACTTCGGAAGCCATTGACGACACCGGAGGAGAAGCTCTGAGACTTGCACCAGTCCGGGACATTTCCACGCTGAGGACCTGTGCTGCTGTTTGAGAGATGTGCCACAGAAGTAAGCCAAACAGTTGGAACAGTGGGTTTACGCTCTCGCTACTCGGACTTGCCAGACGAGGTCTCGGGTTCGAAGTACTTTGACTGGCCGGCACGAGAAACTGACAATCAGTTCAAACAAGGGGTTTAGGTTTCATCGTAGAAACCAGATGCGAGAAAGGAAGATTCCATGCAGGGCCTGGTTGCTCCGGTTTGACGAGTCAGACTAGTCGGCCACGGGCTGCGTTTTTTTGCGGCAACTGTTTCTGCTCTTTTGATATAGTTTCAGTGTTCAGCAAGTCCAAGCGCTGCCAGTCAGTGGTGACTATCATGATGGAATGGTGGTCAACGTGTGGCCTCTTTGTCTGCGTCGCTCAACTTGTCGAAGGCTTCCAACACTTGCGTTGCCATGCCTTGGGCCTGCCATGGTCCAGCGCAGAGTAAGGGCTCCCGCATCCAGACATGTTCTGATGCCCGCAGGACTTCAAGAACTTCGCCGGCGGGACCATGCAAAGCAAGCGCGTCTTGACAAGAGCCTCTGGCCCGCTCGGCAGCGGACCCACCGGTGGCTGAGCATTCTTCCAGCGATCCTCCAAGCTCAAATAAAGCTCTCAGAATATGCGGGCAGCAAACTTTGCCACGGAGGCAGGGTACCATGTGTGGCTCACACTCACAAACAAACAAGGAAGCAAGCAAACAAAGGAAGCAAACACCAACCCACTCACCAATCATCACCGATCTGCGTGCAGTCCTTCGGTTCCCGACTAGTGACTGCTCACAGGACCAGCGGCAGTACGAAAATCCAGAGCTGCTAAAAACTGCCAGTGATCTCTGTGGCCTCGACTTTGCAGTCAGTCCCAGAGATCGCAGTTGCCAATCTGTGTTCTTTGCAGGTGCCACTAGCACCGCTAGCATCCACTTGAAATTGCGGCCGCGGTATGCTGCGGTATAATTAACTTGGAGCTTATCAAACTCGGATTTTTTCGTAAGTGTTCAAGCTTGTGGACCCAAGGCCAAGGCACTGTCGGCGACTTTGCGACTAAAGGGGTGTTGTTTCTGTCGCGCACCCCAGTTTCATCCTCAAATCAGCGAGATTTGCCTGTCTCAACTGCCACTACATGCATGCTGCACGATGGTTCCTCCCTAAATCTTGGAACTCTGCACTGCTCTGCGCTGAATCATTTCTCTTGTTGCTCGCAGTGTCTGTAGAATGCCTGAAATGAATTGCTCATGTACAGCACCTGCATCTGTGCAGCGTTTCACGCGCTTTGAGTGCAGTGTGGTGTAGGGGGTCCTCTGAGTTCAAACTCAATGTCCGGCATGAGCACATGTAATTTGCGGCCGCTCCTTCAGATAGCTTTCCATAACCTCCGTCTCGGTGCGCTCTGCCAGTTGCTGAATGTACCTGAGCAACTGATTAGTGGCTTTAGTGTGGCTTTGCGGCGCGAAATGTGTGACACTCGCGTGAACAAATTCGCAAAGTGCTTGCCAGCGGCTTCACCGACTCCATGAAGCTCTTCCTGAGAGCTAACAGCTGGCAGTAGCTGCTGAAAGACCCTTGAAAGGCCGTGCTGATTCAAGTAGCAGAAGTAGCGTTAGGCTGAATGAAACGGCCGAGCATCAGCACAGGAAGAGGAAGCTGGCTGGTAAGCTTTAGGCATCCAAACAGTGGCGAAGGCTCAGCGCCGGCCAGATCCTGGAAAGAGTCTGCCTCGGCCTGCCTCGGCCTGTCTAAGACTCTATCTCGCTGCCGCTCGTTGAGCTCCAGACCGTCAGCCAGTGTACAAAGTACAAGCTCAAGTCTCGCTTGCTGACTTGCCGATCAGACCTGATGGTGCTGCCATCCCAATGATACGCCGAACACTCGAGCCCTGTCCATACAAACTGCCTGAATCTTCCCCCCTGCGACAGCCAGAAATTGTGGTTGCTGCTAGGCGTCTTGTTCTGCGAGGTGATGGCAGCCTTGATTCCGCGCAACACGGCTCCTGCACAGTAGATGTAGCAGCGAAGCCAGGAAACAATAAACACAGCTCTGATTCTCTCATTACGTATAACGCGCCCACAGCATGGCAATAGCGTGGTGTCGGCTTGAAGGCCCCTTGGGTGGAATCATCATGCCTGCTCTACTCTACACTACTCTCATTCACGTCAACCCCCCCCCCCCGGCGGTAGGCCGGAACCGTCTTAATCCCAACCCTCCTAACCCTCGTCAGGTCACTACGGGTTCAGCTGATTCAAGGTCGAGCACTTCACACCGCGAACATGGCCCGGCGGGCTTTCCCCTTCGTCATTATCACTTTCCGGGTGCTGCTGACTGCGTCCTGGTGGAGCCTCTGCTTGCACAAACCAGCCTCGGCCATCGTGCGGCGACTGTACTGTATCAATATCAATCAAGTGCCACTATATCGGTGCTATCACTATCGTGCACATCGCGGCCCTGGAGATGCCACTGGGCCAAGAGGCCGTTGTTGAAGGCGAGGCCGCTGAGCACCATTTGGACGGAGGACTGCAGGTCTGGCTTCAAACTGCCTGGGAGTCTGGCGTGTCTACCCGGCAGCTCCGAACTTGCTTGCTGCACATAAAGCTTTTCTCTAAGCAGCTCAGTGATGGCAGCAGCTGCGGATAGCGCTCGATGAGATAAAAAATTGCCTCGGGTACGTGAGGGGTGCCAGTCACAAAAACCTGGGAGATGGGCACTATTGGCACCGCTGACTTCGAGACAGGATTCCAGATCGTGGTCTGCAATGACCTCCGACTCGCCATAGCCTCGGACAGCGCTGCAATCCAAGCTGAGATCTAACCAAACTTCGACGAAGGCACCTCTGTATGGAGCGTCAGCCTTTTGAACCACCGGCAGCAACAAGCTGACCTTCATCACGTCGTGCAAGGCCTCATGATGTGATACGCTGCTGATACGGAACAGCTTCTTCGCTTGAGGCCGCCACGGTCAGCACCAGGAGAGCCAGGGTGGTTTCAGAGTCCACTTCCAGCTTCGAGCCCTTTTGGACAAGAACGCCTCAGCCCCGATCATCCGTCTGCACGAAGTTTAAGATGAACGTAGATTAGCACAAACCCTGCGAAACAGAGCTTCTGTCGCCTGCGTCGAGCATCAGGTCCTGGAAGTACTTCCATATCGTCTCATCGCCGTAGAACACCTCATGCACGAGAGTCGGTGACCGCCGGCTCGCTCAGCTTACGCTCTGCAGCACGTGGCCAACACTCGCAAAACTTCGCCGCTTAGCCGATCATTCACATCTTCCTCCGATATGTCAGTGTGCATGTTTACAAGGTTCGGTTGCTGCTACTGCCCCTTAGGAGTCACAAACTCCGCCCTTTCCCAGCCATCGCAAGCCGCGGAGCACGACACTTGTCGCTCTCACCTTCACGTGAAGGCATTGGCCTGCAAAGACCGACAAGTATGTGCTGCAATCACTTAGTCATTGAGGGCGCCAGATTCTGGATTCTGGCTACTGTCACAGCCAGATACAACAAGGCAGCTGGTATGAGTTCGAGTCTGCAAAGTGAAACGACACTAAGAGGCTTCGTCACTGCTTTTCAGCAACAAAGTATAACAACACCTAAAGTGACTGTAGCTGTCAGCGAAACCTCTCCCTGGAATCCCTCATTGAGAAGCATCAAACAACACCGGATTCCAAGGCGAAGTATTCAGACAGATCGCTCAGGGACGGGTATAGGGAAGTAATGCCCTACAATATATCGGGATATAAGCACGGGTCGGGACGACCCAGGCATAGCGACCTGTGGCAACCGTGAGTTCCAGGATTGCGATGTGCAGTATATTACCGACTGCATTGAATTATTCAGACATGGTGAAACTGCGGACTATGTGGAGCTACCTGTGAGTGACGTTCGATGACGGAATCGCTGGGATTCAGGCTTGTTGACAATGTAACACCCCAGACAGTGAATAATCTGCTGGTAAGGCCTGTCTATTAACAACTTGACCGATTCAATATTGTGTGGTCTGCGCAAACAGCGAAGAGCTTGCCTCCAGGAGTCATCGACCCCATGACAAAACCCGTGCTTGCCATCAATGCTCGAACCTTAGCAAACTCAGGCTGCAATGTGGCAGTCATCCCGTCGCAATTAATTCTAGGTCCTGCATCATCCCGTCGCAATTAATTCTAGGTCCTGCAAGCCATCTGCGGCACCGCAACGCAATAGCCAGTAAATGGCGAAGAATGCCCCAATGGTTCTTTGGAACTCATCTCCGGCCACGCGTCCGCCATAAAGGACCTCACAAGATCTACAGTAGCGAGCCCAATTCACCTCGTGCCTGAAATACACAGTGTATACAATGCCCGTGGATGCCCGTTGGCCGCCATCGGAATTTCGTGCCGCCGGAGGCACATCTCGTTTGAACTCCAGCGTGTCAACAGACATCCTGGGATTCAGCAACTGGAAGTCAGTGACACGTGCAACGGCTCTTGCACTTGGCTTGCCTTCACGGCTCCGATTCACCGATGACTGGTGAATACCTACTGTTGAACTAGTGGCTGCAAGCAAGCAGCCCCTCAAGGCCAAACAAATGCAGCTCTGGAAAAGTGGCCATCAGGTCCTGAGCACCATGAAGCAACCGATCGGCAGCAACTGCTACTTGCCCACGGATTCCTACAGGTCCTGCCTGAAAATACTTGCCAATGGTGTAGTCCGGCTTCGCAATGTCTCTGGCAATTGCCTGCAAGTTGTCGCAGCGAAGGGCACCAAGCCCCAGCTTGAGAACTGCAATTTGCACTTCAGGCGATGGCGCGGCACTCTAAAACGGGCCTGGGCCCGCTCCATATCCAAAGTACGACCGGCCATCACTGCCTGCCCGAAGGGCTCGTAAGGCCGAGCTCTACTCACAAGAGGTCCCCCAGGTCCCCCCAATGGGGCCTCTAGGAGAGGACTGGGACTGCCAGCTTCCTCCGCGATGTCCATTTTCACAGCCTCCGACACGTCGGCTGCACTGGGAAGGCAACAGCTGATTTCCTGGGGCCTCCAAAGATACCGTGACGCCAGGAACGCGACCTGCATTCGATTTCGGCGCAGCTTGTCCCACCCCCGATCCACTTAGACTCGATCTCCAGTAGTGGGACCCCCTCATGACTGCCCCGACGGCTTCAAGCCCCTGCTGAACATCAAGCTGACGGACACTCAACTCCTCGTTTCCATCCTCAACCCCCTCTGCGCGAACGTAATGGGGGCAGGTCGCGGTGAGAGACGGTGAGCATTGCGACTCATTTTTCTCGATGACTATTGGTGCAAAGTGCTATCCTGCCTGCCATCTTCTCTGATTGTACCGTTTCAACCTCTCCCATCAAAGAGCTGCTCTTGCAGGGCAGCACCTGGGCTTGCAAGCAAGGTGGGTGTAATCAGGGTGGGTTTCCGTTTCTCTAGACTTCCGTAGAATGCACACCGCACCCTGAGACCGTGTGTTCGCATGAAACTGGCAGGAGCTGCAGCAGACACAAGTGAAAAGTGGAATCAGTTAAAGCCAAATACTACTGATACTGGCAGAAATGCTAAAAGGTGACGCTTGCCGAACTCGCCTATCACAGCCTGTACCTGCTGCTGAAGTACACTCGCCACGCAAGCTCCCATGGCGCGCAATGCAGTCAGGCAAATCCAGACTGTCTAATGCACAGAATTGACAAGAATCACTATGGCAACTTGTGGGATAGGACTTCCGAGATTGCTGCTACGCGTGCTTCATGTCATGATCCCCTGACGAAGCGGGAACTTAAATCCTGAAGCCAACAGCCAGAAAAACGTGTCTCTCAGTGTCTTCCCTGTTGACGGCACCTGATGCACCTCGATCCCTCTTGCGCTGGCGACTGAGAAACTCGCAAAGTAAGGCGGATGCCATGTCGAGGCTGTGGCCCACCCTGCAACAGGCAGATATGGGCATCTGGTGAGGGCACCTCAGCCACGAGCCGCCTGGGGTTTTGTCATGCACATACTCACCGACTTCTACCAGCAAACAGTGAAACAGTTGAAGCGGTCGGGCATTCGACAATGACACCCAGTATCACATGGACAAGGACTGTGTGCGGAGCAATGAGGCATCTGACTTGACTGCACTTATACGCCAGGTAGGCCTGCCGCCTGCCCTGCCGCCAGCAAAGGCAATCGCTAAGCCGCTCAGTCGTCCCTTCAGGGATCCTCTGCACAGCCGAATTGCTTGTAGCGATCGCCCTGCTGCTAAGGCCGTCAGAGATGCGAGCTTTCAACTCGCGGCAGCCTGCAAGGTGTGTTTTGGACATATAGTGACACCTCTACAATCATATTAACATCTACGAATACCAATCGCACGACCGTGCCCAAGCCCCTGTAGAGATTTGTACCCAGAGGTTGAATCTAGGGGAAACAGAGAACCGAACAGGTTAACGAAGCTTTGGTCGAGCCTGTCTGCTTCAAGACCTTCGTCGCCCGCAGGACATACAAAGGCTTTCTGCCATCCCGCTTTGTTGTAAAGATGCCAAGCCCCGCACCGAGATCCTCATCTTCCAGAATGATACCTATATTATCAGAAGATGGCAGTCAGGACAGTAGAGAAGGCATTCACCACTCATTGACACCGCTGCCACTGCCGTACGATAGTTAGCCGGACATAACCTCCGAGGTCACAGCTCATCCCAGGAGATGGTGGTGCTTTCCGCGGGACCTTGCCACGCACCACACGTACAATCACTCTCGATAGGGGCATGTCGTGGCGCACCTTGACGTTGGCAATTTTCTGGTCGAGACCATACCTTCATGACTACACTGACTACAAAAAGGAGAACATCTTCCACCGTGAGGCTAGCCGACTAGCAAGCAGACACATGCAACAGTTCTGCAGAGACAGACTCAGCCAGTTTTGCCGGAGTAGTGGCTCGATTTGCTTGACCGTTCAAGATGTGTGTATGCAGCTGAGCCACTTTGCCAGCTCGCCCTGCACGTTGTAGCGTGCTGGCCCGGGGCTTGCTTCGCCCAGCTGGTGAACCTCTTAACACCGCTGTGCATCCTTTAACTCGTTGCGAAAGGTCTCACGACAGCAAGTCAGACAGCACTCCGAGCGGTACTGCCATAGGCCTTCGTCCTGGTCTTTAGAGTTATGTCATACAAAGTGCCACGCCTTAGATTGTGCGCTTGGTGGCATGGCCACTCGCTGGTGGCAAGCAGGCCAGCAGAAACACAAGTCGTGCCAAGGCGCAGAACAGGCGAGTTTGTTCCTGGCCGCGTTATGCAACTGTATGCATCGGGACCAGGCTTGCCCAAGGTCCTTAGCATCGACCAATCCGCTTTCAAATCCGGGGTCTTGAGAAGCACGTAACAAGGTCCACACTCCTTGTCCTGAGCCAGGATGGTCCGTGCGCCCAGTGACCATGTTGGATTCCTCGTGTGGGTTGTTGAGCCACAGAAAAAGACAAATGTACATGCAAGTGCCGTGTCCTCGCGGGGTAGACCCAGGAGGACTTGCCTCGCACTTTCTTTCTCTGCGAAAGGGCTTAAGCGGCCGCTCTCTCTCTTTCTTTCTTTCTGCAGGGCTTAAGGGTCGCGCGAGCGCCCCCAGGCCTTCGGCCCGCCCAGCCACACCCTGTGTTTATGGAGTGGCTGGCAATGTTCAATGGGGACTTTCCTGACTGCGGCAAAGAACTACGCTGTAGGCTCCAGGTTTCCTGCAGAGGTCCCCGCCTAGAAGACCAAAACCCCCCGCATCCCGGCCTCATCTCGGCCTCATCTCCGGGCCCCTATGGCTAGCCATGCCACGTACCTAAGTCCTTCTAGGCGGGTTTCGCTGCAATGTTTCGGAGCTTCTGCCGTAGGCAACACGAAAAGGAAAAGTGCCGGTGGAAGTTCTCCCCCTTGTCAGGTGTTCTGAGAAACTAACCCACACCACTAAGTCACGTAGGCCACATTACTCGACAAAGGGAGCTTGCTGAATTGTAATCCCCCCTGCTTCGAAGCAAGCGGGACGAATTAGCGGCAGAGGGGCGGAACAGTCATCGTCGTGTCGACGGAGTGCAACGAATTGCGGCAGGCGGAAAGAAAGCCGTCGTGTAGCGACGGATAGCGTTCAAAGAACAAAGGCAGGTGGCTTATGGCACATATGGTACAGAAAACATGCATTCCCCCGGCAAGGGCAAACTGGTTAAATCCCCCATTAAAAAGTGGAGTTCGAAGGGGCCTTGTGAGTAAAAGGGCAGGCAAAGCAAACTCGAAACAAGCTACCAGCAAACAGGCTCTCCCAAGTCCCCCCTTTAGGCATCACTCGGTCACGGAAAATTTTTTGCCACGCTCACTCCGCGTCATGTCTGTCTCTGCCATGCCCGCTCTCTCTCTCTCTCTCTCTCGCTTGCTCGCTCGAGTAGTGGCCTGCGGGCAGGCTGGTGTTGTACTTGGCAGGCCCTGGCCCGCTGACGCCGGACCGGGAGTCGCGCTTCTTCTCCTGGTTCTCTAATTTCTCAAACTTCGTAGCGGAAGCTTAAATAATATCCCGGCTTTGTCTCCTCGAAGGTCGGAAACCTCTCCTTGAGCTTGATGCCAGGTCGGATGGCATTTCGCTTCACCTCATTCCCCGAACGGTCTTGTTGAAACGCGATGGATTATCGAAGCCAGCCTTGTCAACCTGCTTGGAAAAGTCGCCATAGGTGTTTGGACCCACGTCCGCATCCTCCGGTCTACTGTAGCTCGGACCTGGTGCATCCCGAGCATCGGCTGTTTTGCAGGCCGCTGCTGTGCTGCACGCTGTCACTACATGAATACTTAGTATTCATGTTTGTTTCAATTTCATCTGGGGGTGGCACGGTCTCCGATGCCGAAACTATTGGCCTGGCCCAGCTCCCACTTCTTTCTCCAGAAAGCACCTGACGAGCCCGGGCCCATGGCAACGTAGGTGTGTGCCCATGCAACAGCGCATGTCTCTTTGCAACCAAGGGACTGCTTGCAAGAGTGCGGTCGTACTTCGGACTGCACTTCAACTTGAGAACCATGGAGGGTTCATGCATCTGGGCTGAGAGACTTGAATGCAGCACGCTGTCACGCTGCCTGTTCTGGCTGTTCTAAATTGACCAAGAGCGGCACATACCCACCTGGACCTCGGCTGTGCCCGAAGCCAAATCCTCGCAGTGGTGTATCCCGAAGCCTTCCCTCGACACCCCCTCAAACCTCAGGCCCCACGTCACGAACACAGCAAACGCTGCCTTTTCGCCAGCCTTGGAAGGGAGGCCCGCCTGGTCACAGGAGCAAGGTCTGCCCATCTTTATCACAGGAGTCCAGGAAGCACTCTTATTGGCAAGGCAGGTCTGATTATCTCTGGACTCCCACCATGCGGCGTGGCCAAGTCGGGAGAGCTCAGGAACATCTGCATATTCACCATGGCGCCTCGGAGACAACACACCAGAGGAACGTAAAGGGCCGAGCTCGGAAGCACTCAGCCGTACACCGGCTCGGGCCACCAGGCGAGGCGCGGCCCGGCCCTAGGTTCGTGCTTCGCTGAGCTTCTTCGCGTCACTCCGACTCGCTCTCGCTTGCTCCCGCTCGTCCAACGGCTCAGCCCGTGACGTGCGAGGACCGCACGGGATCACTCTCTACAAGGCTGGGACATGCTGCGCTGAAGCAGAGACAAACAAGGAACATCGCAATCAACAACCAGTTCCTCAAGAGCTACAGGCTAGCATTCTTATGATAGTTCTCACTCTGAGCTTATTTGTTGCAGCCTATACGAGCCTTCCCGCCTTCTCCACGGACGTGTGAAGGGGGAGAGCCTCGCTGGTTGCAAGCTTTTGCACTCAGCGCATTTGGGTCAAGCGGAGAGTGGAGAGCACGAGCTCACGGCTTTCGTGGTCTCTGCCAGCTGTCACTTTGTACCTACACGAATGCTACCTTGTGTCAGGAGTGAACAGGCCAACCCCTGGTCTGATGTCGTCCGTATCGCTGAGACTGAGATGACCATTTTGAGCAACCGAAGTCATCCTCGAGCTCTGGATCTTTTGCGCGTGTCCAAAACTAAAGTCTCTCACTGCATGTCGCTTCGATTCACGGCCGAATCCAGAAGAGTCCACGGAACCTGAGCGGGCGAGTTTGCACCGTGAGCTGGGGTTGTGCGGAGTTCGAATACAACCCCCGCATGAATGTTTTCTGCCACGGTGCAAACGGAACGTAAGACCCAATCTCTTTGGCCTTTTCATGTGTCGACAGCAGATGCGTACGCACACGTGCGAGAAACTGTTGGCCACAGTGTACAAAGCCGGTGGTATCTCTTTTCCAAGCACCTTGTCCACGGATCTCCGCATCGTTTCCAGAAAGTGGGTGCTGGAATGGGTGAGGTCTGACGGAGAGGAAGCCTCAGCTTCAGGAAGACGAACAGACCGCTTTGCAGGTCTTCACACGCCTTTCCGTTGTTGCAAGCCGAGGCTCTTCTGCCTGCAGAGGTTTGCTTCTGCCTGCCCAGCCGACACCGTACGCTCAAGCCTCCGAAACATTCCTAATTAAATCATTCATTTCAATGTCTCGATTTCGTGGCCTGCAAGTCTACATTAAAAGGCATGTGACCGCAACTGGACGCCTCAGATGACATGAGTCGATAACGGGTGGCATTGTCCTTGTTTTTGTGCTGTTCTGGCAGGGGCGAGTGCTGAGGTGGTGGGGATATCAGCAATACCACCAGGCACAGCACGCGACATCCTGGACGTGGAGGAGAACCAAGCAGCTCAGCATGCAGCAATCATGCTATGTGCCGCCTGTTGGGAGTCGATGCTCTTCTCTGGACCACTACTACTACTACTACTACTACTACTACTACTACTACTACTACTACTACTACTACTACTACTAAGTACTACTACTACGCCTCTGCTGCTGCTACTGCTGCTGCTAATATTTCATCATCGTCGTCTTTTCCCCCCGTCATACAGAGCGAAAAATTGACTGGCCAAGATAAGACATGTCAGGGAAGAGGTATCGAAGGTTCAACTACTACAACTGCTGCTCCGGAGAATGTGCAAAGCTAAGAGGATCTAAGAATCTAAAGCAAGCCCAATCCCCGCATTTCCAGACAGACAGCAGCCTTTGGGATGTTTCGGTGACATGGGATCACAACCCACAACACATGGAACCAAATGCACCTACCAGCCCGGGTGAGACCCATTGAGCGTCGGTCCCCTCACTGCTGGAGTTGCGGTGGTGCTGTGGGGGGATCCGGTGCCTTGAGTGGGAAGCAAGAAGTCTCTCTCTCTCTCTCGCTTGCTTGCTTGCTCAGCGTGTGGGCTGGAGGCTGAGAACCCACAAGCCCTGCGCACAAGCGCTACGCTGTGTGTCCAAGTCCGGTCGTTTGGAGGTGAGACCTGGGGGCGGAAGAAGTGTGCTGGACCGGCGTGCCGGTTAAATCAGCGGGTCCCATTTACAAGCGTGTCCGAGTCCCCCTAACGGCTCTGCTGCGCTCCCGCCTCGTCCAGCTTGGTCCGCTCCCCACTCTTTCTTCGCTACTCTATGTCGTGCTGCCGCTCTTCGGCTCTTGGCACTTTGGCGCGGTCCCTGTTTCTCGACAACATGCTGGCTAGGTGTCGATTAGGCCTATGGCATCCAAGCGTAGCTTGAAGAGCTGTGGACTCTGCTGCTGCGGAGCTCATCCAACAAGGTTTGGTGGGTGTATGTTCTGTAAGGCAGCGGGTCCCCAGGGTCAGGAAGCAAAGGGCAGAGGTCTCTCTCTCTCTCTCTCTCTCTCTCTTGCTCTTGCTCTTGCTGGCAATCACCTGCCTCTCTCTGAATCCCTCTCCCTGCCTGCCGCTGCGTTTGGATGCTGCGCTTCTTGAACATGGTGCTTCTCGGCTGCTAAGCCGGCGACAGCAGAGGCCGCAGGTAGGACAGGCTTCGCAGGCAGATTCGTCGGACTGGCCGCACTGGCGTATGTGTGCGCCACCGATTTCCTTAGCGTGAAGTGGATTCAATCACTGTCATGCTGGACCTGATTGGGAATGTAAACAGTAAAGCAAAACATCGACATCCAAGCCTCTGCGCTTCCATAACAGCTGACATGTTGGGCATGGCCACGTTGGCGGGAACGGAGGAACCCAAGCTTGGGGGAAGCGCACTCGCACCGGCTGCAGTCACTGGAGCTGTCGGTGGCATCGGTGGCATAGGCATGCCGCCCATGAAAGGGTTCATCATTGGCATCATGTAAGGATTAGGGTAGGTGCTGTAGCCCATCACAAGTGTAGGTCCAGGTGGTCCGGGTGGCCCGATTTCACCAGGATCACCCGCTTCCCCAGTGGGGCCTTTTGGGCCTCGTGGGCCTTTTGGTCCCTTGGGGCCTGTCGCTCCGAGTAGGGCTGGTGAGCTGGCAAGCACTGCAGGCGCAGGCGCCGGAGCGGCCGGAGCGGCCGGGGCCGTGTCGCTGCTGTCGCTGTCACTGCGCACCTGCCACACTGCCAGGCTGGGACTTCGCTCCCCACCCGACAGATCCGCCGCCTCCGCCTGCATCCGGCGTTCGTCTCTCAACCTGGAGAGAGCGACGCTGCTGTGACGAAGCCGCGCCCTGAGTAGCGCAGTCACGACGGCACGACATCTTGCAGATCTCAGCAAGCACGACGAGCTAGCGACTCATCTTTTGCAGCTCTGAGAGCTCGGACAGTCTCAGCACCTTGCTGTATCTTTGCATTGCCTATGCCGCCTTTCATCACTATGCACGCTTTGGGAGGCGGGCTTCCACGGAGCAGCCCCGCAGTTGTTTCCGTAGAGAGCAAGTGGACCTTCACCTCGGAAAGTCTTGGTTGTTGGATGTCTTGGGGTTCTTAGCCAAATACTCAAGCATCCAAGGCACTGAGGGAGCTGAGGGAGCCTGCCTGGCCCCCACCACCACAGCCAGGGTCAGGGCCAGGGCTGCAAACATCGCCGTCCCGCCCGGCCTTTCATGAGCCAACACATGAGTCTAAGTAACAGCTCAGCTGAGGTCCCGCCGCTTCGTTGCGGGTCCAACACCCGGACTACTGCCCCCGGCCCAGCATGAATCTGAGCCAAGACCTGCAGTCTTGCTTTGCTGACACGTGCTCTAGACTTATAACGTTCTGAAGCAGCCTTGGATTGGAATACATCGAAAAAATTAAAAAGCGTTTCCAAAGCATTTCCAAAGCGTTTTCAAAAAGCGTGTTGGGAGCGTTTCCTTGGGCACGTGCGTTTTAAGAAAGCGTTTTGTAATTAGCCGCTAATTAGCCATTGGATGGTCGGTGGTGTGAGCTAGTTTCAGAAGTGTCTGCCGAGAGCAGGAGTAGCATTGAAGCAGCATGCAGGAGTAGTAGCAGCAGTTTTCCAGCATTTACCGAAACCATGCGACGATCAGTTACATGCACAACGTCGTGTCTGCTCTCGCCGTACGTGAACTAGAGTCTAAATTCCAACCTGCAACTTTTCGAAGCTGCCGCAACATCCAAGACCCGGCCATAAGCCCCAAGCCCCGAAGCCTGGACCGCTACTCTTAGGATCGTGCCTGCAACCTGAGACTACCCATGCAAGTTTCGTTCTTTTAAGGCTTAGGCATAGGGTAGGAACGTAAACATACCTCCGCACTCCGGGCGCAGGTTGCTTGCGTTCGTAGATTTGGGCCAGTGGGTGGTTGCATTGGGGCCGGACAGGACGGCGTGGTCCTTTCCAAGAAAATTCATGCTTTCCGTCGCTTCTGAAACAACCCGCAAACGCTCTAGAAACGCTCCGCTGGTCCGGAAACGCTCCAGAAACGCTCTGAAAACGCTCTGCCGGTCCGGAAACGCTCCAGAAACACTCCAAAAACGCTCCAAAAACGCTCCGAAAACGCTCCAAAAACGCTCCGAAAACGCTCCGTGCGCAGGTCCAGAAACGCTTCGTAAACGGAAGCGCTCCGAAAACGCTCAGAAACGCTCCGCAGGTCCAGAAATGCTCCGGAAGCGCTTCGAAACCGCTCCGGAAACGCTCCGAAAATGCTTTGCCAAATGCTTTCGGAAAATAACCACTCGGAAAAACGCTACCAAAACGCTTTTTGGAAACGCTTTGAAAACTGTTCAGGCCTGCCTTTGAACCTCTTCAAGAGCTTGGGAACAGTGCAATGGGGTTTGGGAGAAAGGTTTATAGGTGGTGAGGGCCGTTTCAGTGAGGGTGAGTTGTTACGGGGAGAGGCATCAGTCGGGCTCGGTTCACATAAAGGGGTACTTCTGATCTGATTTCCTGCCATATTTCCCGTAACAGCCTCCTAGCATAACAGCATAGCAGTAAAGCTTATACTTGCATGAGTCGCACATGAGGGATCCCAACGCACTTCTGTTAAAGGATTGCGTTTTATCCGTGATATACCCGGGCAAGCTTGGCAGACGCAAAACATGCAGCTCCACAAGCCAATATACGTGTGGACATGCCGGCTGCCGCGAGATGCGAGTTGCTAGGTCGGGCCCTGTTCAGCCTATTCTCATATGTTTGTTGGTTTCGTGTGCTTCTTGAGGCCTATGTGTCGCTGTTCCGGCTCATGTTGCCTTTCGCCTGCTGCTGGGCATAGACAGAAGGCACACACACACACACGCACATCAACCAAAACGCTTCTGACAAACGCTCTCTCCACAGGAACTGCTGCCAAAACGCTTTCCGAGAATGCTCCGAAACACTCCATAAACGCTTTTTAATTCTAGAACATACCACCCAGTGCTAGGCTCCTGGAACCTCACAACTCTAGACTCGTCCAGACTCGAAGGCAAAGCGCTTCGAGCTCAATTCGCGTGGCCGACTAGGGCCGGTTGACTTTTTCACGGAGGGTCCAAATCCTCAACCTGCTGCTCACTCTTCAGTGAAGTTCGTCCCTGCAACATCGTCGATAAGACCTGACAAGCAGTGACGGTAACGCAAGCCCGAGATGACCGCAAAATGCACAGGATGTGACCCCAAGGAACGAAGGGTAGGTAGTCCACGATTGTGGCCACCTCCTGACAATGCGGCTATCGCACTCTACCCTCCGTACCAGTACCAAGGAAGCCTCTCCCACTTTCTCCATTCCAGTTGTTTTAGCTTTGAGAGTGGCGCACCTCAATTCTAGCCCCTTCGGGGCTCTACCGCTGCGACTTTGAACGCAATGATTATGCACTTTCTACTTTGTACAAAGGCATCGTTGTCGCGTCGTCGTGTTGCTTTCCGCCAGCACTTTCATGCCCTTTCAATCCCCGCACAGGCAGCTGTCGAAAAACCTGCTGCAGGTCTTCAGGCCTGCACTTACGGCTGTGCTGTCGAATTGTCATAAACTCAGCCAGTGCTTTTTCCCGGCAGCCGGGAGCTCAAGCATGCCAAGTGAATCAACACATATCTCCTGCTGATTCTTTCCGTATGTGTGCATGTCAGTATCAGGCACGGCTATGCTTGGCTGCTCATGTATACGGCGATTACCAAAATCCAAAGGCTCCACGCTGGGCCTGGGGCCAGACTGCTTGCAATAATTTGGAACGTTGTGAAAGGTGAAGGCGTCGTGAGTCCAAGACCCGGAGGGATTAACCTGACGTTCAAAAACGAAGTACATCAAAGTTGCAACAGGACAAACTTCCGTGTTTGGGATCGTGGCTGGGCACATTGCGGTCGAATCGATGACACTCTGGCGACTTTCTTCCTTCCTACCTAGCAAAGGACGAAGCCCGCATTGCCGGGTACATTGCCGAATTGAATCCAAGCCTCACCTTATCAATGACGTGTATTACGCCATTCGTCGCCAGCACGTCCTTAATCAGCACCTGTGCCTCGCTGTTGATGACAACGGGCGGCGATGCGCTGTCGTAGGCGATGCCTGCCCAGCCGAGGTCAGTCCACGGTACGGCTCGGACCGTCGTCCCGGGCAGCAGTGTGTCAAGCTCTCGGGGAGTTGTGAGCTCACTGCTCAGAAGTGCTTGGCCCCCAGAGACGACGTGGTATCTTAGGACGCTCCGGAGCATTTCGACATTCTCCGGCTGCAGCAGCGTGGCCAGGGAACTCCCGAGCGCCGAGAAGGCATAGTTGTTAGGCAGAAAAGCGGTGAATGGGCCATCGCTCTGGAATTCTTCCAACACTCCCGCCGCAGTCGCTGCTCGGGTAAACTCTGCAAGATCTGCTTCCTTGTTCGCGAACTGCATGAAGCTTCTATGTGGAAAACGCCAAGCATTCGGCAGCACAACTCCTTCCAAAACATGGAGAAGTCCGTTAGTCGCAGGGACGTCCTGCACGCTGGCCTGTCGGTTGGCGAGTGATCGCTCTCTTAGGGGACCCCGGATAAGATGGCCGACGCTAAGCAGATCTCCTGATGGTTTGTAGCTGGAATGTAGAGATCGTCACGAAAAGGAAGCTGCATGCAGCAGGGCTTAGGCTTATGCTTGTGCAGCGACTTCTCGCTGGTGAGATGCTCACTCGAAAAGGGTGCGAAGCTTCAGGACAAGTCCGATGCCTTGGCTCCGTTGAAAGTCAGAGGACTGAGCGAATCCACAGTGACCGTCTTGCCGTCTTTTGTCACCACACTGGCTCTCGCCACCATGTCCTCAGCTAGAACATCACTTGTACCCGGCACTACAGTAGCTACCAAGGCTTGCGAAAGATGAATTGTTCCCGTCGGGCAACCAGGCTGTCCAGCATTTGAGCGGGTACTAGGGTGTACGAACTTTTACTCAACAGATACCATAAAATGAACCCTTGCTGTCAATAAGTTCGGAGAAGCTCAGAGGTCACAGATGCCTGGCAGAATACACGAGGTGTTAAGTGGAGGTAGCTGAGTTTACTGGTAGAGCCAATCTGTCAAGAAACCCTAGGGTCCTTCTTTCGCCCGTCCAGGGTTATAAGATGTTATAAGATCGTGGCCTTGCCTGTGTCGAGCTGTTTGGTGATCAGTAGGGCCCACAAGTTTACGCATAGTTTGCTCTTGCAAGTTCTGCACTAAAAATGGTTTATACGTTAATCGTGCGGGCGAGAAAGACCGAACCATACTCTCGACCAGAAAAACCCTCAGAAGAGGAAGCGCAATCCAATTCCTGCCGATAGCCTACACAGAGCTGGACAGCAGTGCAGCTATGCAAAATTTGTCCAAGAGACGGTGCTGCGCCTTCACACAAAGATGCACAAACACAAAATGTCTGTAGCTACCTTGTGCCCTGGTTGATGCATTTCATCATGCCTGGCCTGTGATCACTGAAAACGTGTGCCTGCAGCAGATCGACCTAACGAGACGGTGTCACCAACAAACAGGCGCCCACGAAGCGCAATGTCCGAGGCTCCGGCGAGAACGTCTTTGTTGGATGAGAGCCTGCCGCCCGTGATTCAAGGGGCTTTCTGCCACACGGAACTACGAAGAGCCGAAGCCGGCACTTAGGAACCGCTATGATCACGTGCAGCCAGCTACAGAAGGCTGCTTGCAACGCCCGGGCCCAGATTCTGGAAAGCAGTATCCGTCGGAGCAAGCAAAGTATGAGGAGAAGCACCTGGGATGGTCCTATAGCTGCACATGTCCGATGGCCAGCGTGCTGAAGGTGGAAGGAAGACCCGGAAGCCCTGTCACGAAGTACCTGCCCTTGCCGCCAGGCTGCTCGCAAATACCCAGTCAAGATCTGCTCGCACAAGGGCACTATGCAAAATGGTCAAATCTGGACTTCTGGAAACGATTTCCAAGATCGTCTTGTCCGGATAGAGCCATGTGCTCGGCAACAGAACGGTATCCACGAGTTGAATCATGCCATTTGTTGCAGGGACATCACGACTTATCACAGTGGCGAGCTCATTGATAAGCATTGTTGGCACCAAGGATGTAATTGAGATTTCACCGTTTGCTAATGTCTTCAGGGTTTGGCCAAGTGACAACGAGGAACTGTCCACTACGCCTTGCATTGCATGGTTGCGGATCAAAGAGAGCAGGTGTTCCCGGTTCGCATCCAGCATCAGAGAGGTGGCTATGCCCAGCCCCAGCTTCTGGAATGCTGTGTCTGTCGGCAGAAAGACAGTAAGTGCCTTGGTTGCACCACACTGATCAGTCCTTCAGGAAGCTCTGAAACAATTCGCTGCAAACTTTGGAAACCGACTTAACATGCCCCTTGTTGTTCGGGGGATCGCCGCAGACGGCACTGAGAAAGTGAAAGGACCAAATTCTCTCAATCTCTCTCAGGCGGCACCGGCCGATGGTGTCGCGACATGAGCTTTCAGCACTTCCGGGCACTCAGAACAATTTCTAAGTGCATTAGAGACTCGAATTCTGCTCGAGGGTCTGAGAACTGTTCGGAGAGTCCGCTGAGCTGCAGACCCCTTGAGAAGGTGGCCAAGTACGAAGATGTCCGCGTCAGTTCAAGGATGTTCTGCAACGGCGGCGGAAAGTTGTAGTTGGGGGGCCGCGCGACACGTGCAAGAATATGCACCTAGGCAGAGTGTCACCCGACGACCCGACGAGAAAGCCTTCCAACGCCTTCCAGTGCCAGTCTGAGGCCGGCGCCATGCCGTTCGAAGCTTCCACATCTGCCTGAATCACTTGAGCCTGACCGTTGAGGCCTTATGGAAACATGCACTCAGCGGTGTGAAGATCTTCACCTCAAAACAACGTCGCTCTTAGACTCTTTCAAGAACCAAAAGCAGTACCCGCTTCCGGGTGCTACTGCTATTCTTCCAAGGTTGGACAGGATATTCACGAAAACTGCAAACAAACCGGAAATGACCCAGGTGCGAACCGCTGGCGCCACTTCAGTGATGGTTACAGTTTCTGAGCTCCAAGTCATCAGGGTCTGTCCGGGCGTCATGTCCCTGGCAGCATCCAAGGATGATAAACACTTTGACTTGGATGGGTCGATGCCTTCTTGCAGTCACCCTGCTTCAGCTGCGTTGGTCTGTTTTGTACTCTGGTTTCAGGAAGACTGCTGCGGCGTACACTGACGTCGCAGTTAAAAGAGCAAGTCGTCTTGCATGCCCCTGATTGCATGTCTAAGATCACAGGAAACTCCTCCCTGAAAGGCTTGTTTCTACACAACCGGCAGCTGCTTTAACACCTAATTTCTCGTTGGTACGCCAGCGCAGGTCGTAATCAAGCGAGCCTGCTTCGGACGTCGGCATACACCACGTGGTACCTTGGAGCATCGACTCTCTCGACATTGCTTACAGCATCTTGCCGTTCCATGGTACATAGCATTCCATAGCCAATAATCGGCTCGATAGATGTTACAAGGCAACGTTGCAGTCCATAAACGCATGAGGCTTATGAGGCTTATGCACGAACATGAACGAATGCCAACTTCAGCTTGGATGCTGCAACAGGTTCAACAAGTACTCTGAATTCCGTCCAGACTTCAACGTCTCGAAAACTCCAGGACCCAGCAAATCGATCGCTTCATTGCTGGGAGCAAACACCTCCGCAGCAAAGCAACGCAACGCTTCGACGTTGTTTATGAGCTACAATAATACAATCGGCTTATAATCGGCTAGGGAATATACCGGTCGGAGACTGCCGAGCATACTGCAAATGCACCCACATCAAAAACCGACCAATGCAGAAGCAGTCTCTGTGAACGGGCCTGCTCCTTCAGGGGACGGGCTCACACAGTGTGCCAAGAGTTGAGTGATTTTGAGGGTCTCTGTGTTGCCCTGCTAGCCCTGCCCAGCCTTCCAAAGCACCCACCAAGTCGGCCTGCGGGTATTAGCTTGGATTTTGAATCAGGGCAAAACACTACGGAGCCATTGCGCCAGCATCACCACGTCACGCTACCCAAAGCGAGCTTTGAATGTTTGGGTTGGGGTGGTCTCCAGGTATCGGGCATCCATTCCCCACTTGTATGGGATGGTCCCCACACAGATGTCGGGAGCGACAAACTCCGAACACCTCGTTGTTCCAAAACATTAGGCTTAAGGTCCCAAGCGCGGCCTGTTGCAACGCAGTATAAAAGCTCGACAGTTGGTCAAGTGCACCAAGAATGTCCTCGATGTGTCGTCGACTAACAAGCTTTCCGGGCACTTCTGCTCACTTGCTGCTTGCATCTGGAAGGCAGTAACTCCAGGTAGCTGAGCTTGTGTCACAACCAGGACGGCGAACCATGATTTGAAAAGGCCAGCTAGCATCTCTTCACAGGGTCTTGAGCCAAGGCATGCCATAGCATTCGATTCCCTATCTCGCCGATTGGCGCTGCAGCAAATCCCATGAAGTCGGCCCCAAAGTCGGCGGCAACACAAGCCAGAGGACTGCGCTCAAGCCCGAGGACTAACAGGGCTCCTCTGCAGTGCTGGCGCTGGCAGACCTCTGGAGAAGCTCGCTCAAGGTTTCTAGCACCAAGTTGGGCTTCGCAACAAAAAGCAACAGCGGGCTTCTGCACTCAGCTCTGGGCCGCTGGGTTGCGGATCCTGCTGAGCTTGAGGCGGATTGCTTGGCCTCGGCCTGGCTTGAGGAAGCCGCACTCGATGCGCTTCCAGCTTCACTTCCAGGTAGTTCGCGGGTCTGCCGTGCATGTGCCGTGCTGTCATTGGCCACTTTTGGCCCTGGCACATCCGGCGTTTTTGCATGTTCGTTTTCGTTTCCAGTACCCTGTGAAGCAGAAGGCATGCTGGAATGTGCGGCTTGCTCACCACTACTGCCATGCCTGGCACCTGTGCCAGGGGCGCTTGGCGTCATAGCAGCTGGTGCAGGAGCTACTACCATCCCTCCAGGGACAGCAGCGGAAGAGTACGGCGCGCTTGCCGCAACAGGTGCTGTCGCAGGGGCGGCGAACGGTGCACTTGCTGCAGCAGTTGCTGGAGCAGGTATGGGCGCCAGAGTCAGCGGTGTTCTGACAACCGATGCAGCAGAGTGTGGCGAACTCGCCGGAACAGTTGCTGGCACGGGTACAGGCAGGATATCTTGTTGAGCAGGTGCCATTGTCACCGGCATCGCGCTTTGTGATGCCGCTGGCGACTCTTCATGGAAGGCTGCGGCCTGATGTTGGAAACTTTCAAGAGGAAAATCACACGCCATGCCTTTGTGCAGACGAAGCCTCCAAAGCAGCTGGGGCCGGTGCCTCGACTGTGCAATGGGCCATATTTATGCATGCGATCGTCCAAAATTCGGCAAAGATGCGGGCACCGCAGGAAAGTACTCCACGGCAGCCTTGGGCGACAGGGCGGCCGCTGGCTGCGTGGTCGTGGCCTGGAAATTGTCAGTGATAGTGCTGTGAAGAAACCAGAAGAGCCAGCGAGAGTATTGCCAAAAAACAGAGTCGTCATGGCCGCTTGCCTCGACTGGAGCCGGAGGAGATGCCAGAGGAACTTGCGCGAACGGGCTCGCGGGCTGCGTCCCGGCGAACGGGCCCATGGTCATGGGATTCATCGGGTTCATATATGGGCTCATCATAGGATACGCCAAAGGCATCGGCATGGACCCCAAGGGAGGCATGCCTAGACCTCCAGGCGGGCCAGGGGGGCCCCGTCGTCCTGTCCGTCCTTTTCTGCCCTTCGGCCCAGCAGGACCACGCACGCCAGGGGGACCCAGACCCAGAGCAGAGTCGAAAGTCTGGAAATTGGGTGACGGCGCCGGTGCAGGAGCAGCGGCCTCGGTACAAACCATAAGCAGGAGTCTTCTTGCCGATGCAAGCAGGCCTGCAATGTCCAGGCGCCATCTTCGGAACTATCGCCTCCGTAGCATCACATGGCATGCCAATCAACGTGACCGTATTGCCGAAACTTGGCACACGGCCCCTGCCACCCTGCGCCACGCTCAGGCTCGCCTGCCGCGTTAGTCTTCCGTTCGTCCCAAGTGTCGCCAATCAATACCGCAGCCAAGGCACCACATTCAACTTGTTGCAGTTCACCTCGCAGCAAGCAATTCAACGTTGTGCCATGACTTGCTGTCGCAGTGAAATGTGATCGTCTCACATGCGACGCCTCCACACAGAGGAGAATCTGGAAAACGACTACCTCAGGTTCTCTATTCTCTGTAGAGTTGACATGTCGACAGAATTGGTCCAGAGATCGCTCGGATTCTGACGCAGGAACGCTCCAGGCGCATTCTTCGTTACACTACGGTGCCTGCCCTTCAAGCAGGACAAATAGCTGCGGAAATCACGCTCACAGTTCTCGACCCTTGACGACTCAACCTCGTGGAACGGCTCGCTCGAGCAAGTGTCATGTCCTCGTGGGTACGAACAAGACACGCAGAGTAAGAAGAAGCCTGACACTCCCGAAAGCCTCCCGTGATTCGACACGTTCAGTTTGCATGGGCGACAGGATTGCATTGCGCATGCTTTCCAGTATGGACGTAGTTAGACGTAGTTGCCGACTCCCTTTCTGGCTGATCTCGGATCTGGCAATTTTTTCTGCTGTGCGGCACTGTTCGTCGAAATAGCCAGGTGAGGCACACTCCCAACCTATAAACAACAACAGCAGATCTTCGGCGATTTGCCGAAAACATCCGAAAACGACGTCCTAACTTTGTATGTCCATGTTGGAACCCTAGCTCAAATCAAAGCCAGCTTCTGCGCCTGTCAGCACCAGCCAGACGTCTACGGCGGACGCATGACTCGCATATCGCTGCACATGGCTGCAGAAGCCCACGCAAGGCCGCGGCGGATTGCTTGCAAGACTTTCGACTTCAGACTCTCGTAGCTGACATAGTCCGGCAGCTTCAGCAAGTTCGCACACCTAAAGCAAGTGAAGTCCCTGTTCTTGTGCAGAGACGAGTTCAGTCCACAGCCGAGCCGCGTCGCGCTGGTTGGAAGTCGCTCTGAATCTGGCACGCGGTGCACACAGAACTTCGGGTTCAAGTTCTGAAACCTCAGTCAGTCTGCTAGTCAGTCTGCTTGTCGGCAGTTGTCCTTCCACCATGTACGGAAGCATGTGCCAGAATTCAGCCAAACTTCCCCAGCAACGGTGCGCGACTGCAAGATGTGCAGAACCTTGATTCATTCAGGCTCGCTCGAGGTCGCTCACCGGTACAGGTTGGACGGCACCTGATTGTGTCGGCCCTTGGGCCGCGACATTAAGAACTTGCTCATGTCCTCCGGCTCCAAATCCTCTTGCCTCGGAAAAATCCAACGAATTTCTTGCACCACGTCCTGTGGAGAGCTTGAAGGACGTACTGCATCCACCAAACTGCCTCGAGACTGTCTGGCAAGGCCGCGGCAACAGCTTCCAGAGCCAGACAATGCACGGGCTGTCGTCCTAGTATATCCGCGTCCGTTGCTTTTCCCCTAAGACGGCTGAAACATCATCGGACAAGCTAAATGCGAACGAACATGCATGCATACCCTCGGTGCACCTGGTAGCCCCCGGAGAGGACGGTGTTTGCACGTAGATCCTTGACGTCAAACCCTGCAGTAGAACCGGAGATCAGAGTGTTGAGCTCCTAAGTAGGCACAGGTTGCGAACGACAGAGACTTCGAAAGCTTCTGAGGGAGGCACATAAGGATCAAACATCTTTAACCAAGCCACAGGGAGCACCTGCTCAAGTAGGCAAGCAAGTGACACGTGGGTAGAAAGGAATAGAAAGGACGGATCGATCCCAAAGATCGTAAGCTGTGTCTGCTTGGGATGCACCTTCTGCAGCCCACTCAGAAAGGCAGTAGTGTGCCGCTGAAACTGCACGTTCGTCCTGGCAAGATATCCAGCCAACTGCAATGCATGTCAATCCTGCCGGGAAGCAGCTATGGCACGACACACCTGAAGTTTGCCATCAGGTGCAGGTAGCGCGTCAGATTCTCGCGCGTCACCTAAGCTGAAGCATTGACTCGACCTGGGAGGCATCCCATGCACTGCAATGCAATGCACGGCATGTTCCCCTGCAAGGCGACCGAGGTCAGGCACAGGAATGTCACTGCCACCAGGAATGAGGTCGATGTCCTCACCGAGGGCCGCAAGAGCTACTGTACTCTTGAGGGCAGTAAAGCAGAGCAGCTCCGGGCCACGGGGCGTTTGTCCAATATGCCACGATTGTTTCAGTTGACAATGCCAGAAGTTCATGTGTCTATATGACAGTGCCACAGGCCGTGGTAGACCTGTCTTCTTATGTTAAGAAGACAGCTCTACCAAGTAGGCCCCTATCATACACGATGGCCGATCGACTTTAGCATAGACCCCTAGACATGGGCCCTCGCCGTACCTATGATACCCGGCTATGCAGCATAGGCCCCGTCCGTATCGGTTATCATCCGATCCAGGGCAGGGGTCCCTATCCACGCCACGATAGACCCTATCTCTCCACAGGCCCCTATGCCGCAGCAGCTCTGCACCTGCGTAAGCGGGACGAATCCCCAGCCATGGCTGCTCTGGGATGGATAAGAGGGGCGCAGAGACGAAAAGCATAAAGTGAAAGCGGACGAACATCTTAAGCCCGCCCCCTCATGAGGTGATGGCAGTTGAACACTACTTCAACCTACGCCCCCTTAATCGGTGGTGGCAGTTAACTGGCAGTTAATGACAACTCTTAAACTAGCCCGCTCATGAAGGTCATGCCAACTGGACGTGTATAGACCCCAAACCCGCCTCTTCATTAAGCGATGCTGGTTGGTCACATTTGTGCAATGCGCCATTTTCTGACTCTGGCAACTCGCACATGGCAAGGAGGGGGGAGGCGGTGGGCGTATCCGCGCGCCTTGTGCACCCCTTTCTCGGTGACGGAGATGCCTCGTTGCCACGACGAGTCGGCTAAGCGGCTACCCAGGCCCAGGCCCAGGGCCCGAAGTCGGAAGTGTCCCGAGGAGCGCATTTCTGTCCCCCGCCGGGCTGCCGGCTGAAGGTAATGCCAAGCCCCTCGACGTCCGGGCATTCCTGCAGCTTCTTTGGAAAGGAACGGCCAGGCGATATAATTACCTTCAAAGGTCGCTGCTTCTGGCCTTGATCTGCAGCATGTTCTTGTGCAATTCCTTGTCCAAGGAAGCCACATCATCCACCTGGCACGTGATGCACTTCTGGATGGGAAGCTGGAACCCGCGCATGGAACCGCAAGATTCTACATGCGTTCTGCCTCGTTGACACGTCCGAGTAACCGATTCACGAAAACCCTGCTGAACTGCGGTTCCAGCAGGAACATCTCGTATATCGCCTGTGCCAGTGAATCAACCGCCAGTTGCGACAGCTGCGTTTGTGCTGAAGTCGCCTTTCCCACGACCTTGCCCAGAAATGTATACAAGTCAGCAGCTTGCCGGTACTTCGCGAAGGCTGAAGTGGCAGGGTAGAGGGTGTGATCAGATGTCGCGCTGAAAAGGCCGAACCTTGCAAGTCAGCAAGTTGCTCGGCACAATCAAAAGGTGTCTTCCGTAAATGCTTCTTAGAGCTCCGCTTTTGTTTTCCATCTCAGGCCAGCACTCCGGGTCAAACATCTCACGGCAGATATGCACCATAAACTCCTGGCAATCTCGAACACGGATCAACAAGGTCCATCTACAAGTTGGCATGCCCAAAGGCCCGAAAGGGTACAAAGGAGAATAGGAAACATTGGAGGCATGCCGCCTTGAACAGGCCACCACCGTCCACTCCGCTTTCCGGAGTGCCGTCTGGCGCGATGAACTCGACCCGAAACGTGTCGCGAAGGCCCTGTTCGTCGTCCAAGCCTACCGTGTGGCCAGCGTGCGCGATTGCATTTTCGGCTGCCGAGTTGTCATTCCATGCATCGCACCTTCAAAGGCAGCTATACCATCCTCCACAAGGAAATTTCGACGAATCTGATGTTTCTCCATGGCCTGGGTCAACAGCAGAGACTGTAGCAGACTGGCACTTTCGGGTTCTGCAGTCTTCCGACTCAGTTCTCGGCAGAGGGGCCCCAAGGACCACGGTACGCACGCCTCTCTTCCTGACACCCAAACAGCCGACGGTGTAGCATGTGGAGCCTTGAGCCTTGCGGATCGGCGCCTGATCGGCCAGGATGGCGCTGTGCAGCACGGAGACTCTGTCCTCCCAACACGCAACAGCTCTGCAGCTCATGCCGCATTGCTGCAGCCGGTTTCTAGCTCCTCAAAAGGCAGGACATGAGGAATCTCAGCCAGCGTCGCTTGCAATGCACGTTCGGCCAGGGTCTGCGAGGATGTGGCACCTGAGCAGGCGGCACTTCATGCGTAGTGTCGAAGAAGGAACACTCGACCAGAAGCCTCTCGTTGAGGTCTGCGCTACCACTGGGAACACTGCCTCGCTCCGGTGCCTGGAGGAATTCCAACCGACTCTAAGTTATGCAACGTTGGGGCCACAACGCAAATGAGGGAATTCTGAGGGCATACTCAATACCTGATTAACGAAACTCCCAGAGACTCTAGTCTGACAGATGATTAAATAAATATCCGTGAGGAGCGGCCGCAGTTGTATACAGTACCTTTCTTGCGGAGATCGGAAGATTCGAATTGAATGCGGCTCTTTGCAATACGAGGAATCGTTTCGATGCCGAGAGCTGCCTGCGGCCCCTCATCATCAATCTCCATGGTCTCATCCTGTCAAGTCGTTGGTCCCCTTCAGCTTCAGCTGAGAAACCCCGGCCGTCGCCCGGCCCCAGCCTCATCATCTGCCGGCTCCATTGCTTCATCAGGGGCATCTACCCCCAAATTGATGGCGGAAGGAGCACGTCGCAACCTGACAAGCAAAACAACGACGAACGGCCAGCTGGTCCTGGCTGCAGCCTGGCGCCACTGAGCTTGTAGCAGTGCACGGGACTCCGGAATGATCCATGCCTCATATCGAAAATGTCTGACGTAGCTCTACCGATGCCTTCTTGGTACCGTATCGGGGTGTCTCAAACCGGAATGCGGCATGCGGGCCTTTGAGGAGCCTGAAGCTTTGCATTCAGGCTCCGGCAGCTTCCTACACAAACATCCACAGATTCTTTGCTGCCCTGCCCTGCCCTATCTATGATTTAAAAAGCTTCGGATACAGCGCCAGCACTGAATAAGAAAACATTGAATAAGAAATCCAGCCCTTGGATTTGGGCGAACGTGTGCTAGAATCGGCCACAACCAGGCAAAAGGAAACAAGAACTCCAGGGTCCCCTACCCCCGAAACCCAATTCTTATCAAACTTCTCAAATGCTGC